CAAACGTAGGGCATCCGTGCGTGGTGAGTACCACCTCCGTACGGAATCCTACGGATTTGGGAGCACGCAGACATGCTGTAGAACTTTAAGATATATCTTCCCTCGGCTGGGTGGACTGGGCCGTTAGTGGGACATGCCAACAACTGGGGACAGAATTGATTGAGACAGTCCAGACAGTGTGGCTGTAGCTCTCTCTTCTCACCTGTTACTTAGGGGTGACCTGTGGCAAAAACGTGCCGCTAGAATTTATCTGAATTTTCAACAAGTGCATGTCGGTGTACAACAATCAACGCTAAAGCGTCGGTCACAACCCGCCGTACGTGCATCTACGTGCAAAAATGTGGGCAAACATAGGGGGTCTGTACGTGGTGAGTACCACCTCTGTACGGAATCCTACGGATTTGGGAGCACGCAGACACGCCGTAGAACTTTAAGATATATCTTCCCTCGGCTGGGTGGACTGAGCCGTTAGTGGGACACCTGGCAACAACTGGGGACAGAATTGATTGAGATGTCCAGACAGTCTGGCTATATCTCTCCCTTCTCACCTGTTACTTAGGGGTGACCTATCGCGAAAACGTGCAGCTTGAATTTATCCAAATTTTCAACAAGTGCATGTAGGTGTACAACAATCAACGCTAAAGCGTCGGTTACAACCCACTGCACGTGCATCTACGTGCAAAAACGTGGGCAAACATAGGGGGTCCGTAAGTGGTGAGTACCACCTCCGTACGGAATCCTACGGATTTGGGAGCACGCAGACACGCGTAGGACTTTAAGATATATCTTCCCTCGGCTGGGTGGACAGGGCCGTTAGTGGGACATGGTAACAACTGGGGACAGAATTGATTGAGATGAGACAGCCTGGCTGTGTCTCTCCCTTCTCACCTGTTACTTAGGGGTGACCTATTGCGAAAACGTGTAGGTAGACTTTATCAGAATTTTCAAGAAGTGCATGTCGGTGTACAACAATCAACGCTAAAGCGTAGGTTACAACCCACTGTACGTGCATCTACGTGCAAAAACGTGGGCAAACGTAGGGCATCCGTGCGTGGTGAGTACCACCTCCGTACGGAATCCTACGGATTTGGGAGCACGCAGACACGCCGTAGAATTGATTGAGATGTCCAGACAGTCTGGCTGTATCTCTCCCTTCTCACCTGTTACTTAGGGGTGACCTATGGCAAAAACGTGTAGGTAGAATGTATCAGAATTTTCAACAACTTAGTGTGCAAAATACCTGCAACCGGGCAACCAAATTTTACTTGGGGCAACCTATTTTGAACCTAGGTAGCCCAGTGTGCTACCTGAATTTTAAGAATGCCCCCTCCCCCACGAAATCATGCCCACTTGGCTTGCACCACTGTATCAGGCAGATGCTTTTTAATTTTAGTTATTACTAGTATCAGTTAACTAAAGGCTATTAGAAATATTGTCAAAGGCTTATGTATGTAACATTACTTAATTTGAGGAAAGTAGTAACTTACAGGTGGGGCAACCTAAAATTCTGATGGGCAACCTAATTTTTGCCGTAGGTTGCCCAGTGGGCAACATGGTACAAAAAAAGTATTTTGTACACTGCAACTGCATGTACATGTAGGTGTACAACAACCAATGCTCAGTGAACCAGATCTATAACCTTGCTAGCAACAAGGGGAAGTGGAGAAAACCTGCAGTCGCCTGCACAGCAGCCAAACCATGATGATGATGATGTACACTGTATATTGTATGAGATGATGAGAAAACTGGTAAACATACATGTACAGTCATGCAAGTACACTTAGTATGCCAAAAAACAGTTACTCAAGCAACTGGATATGATTTTGGAAGTAAAGTTAGTAGTAGAAAATATAAAGCCAAAGAACGTGATTTGATTTTTGCATATTGATAGAGCAATTTGAAAAATAAAATAAAAGTAGCCACGATTTCACTGTTTTTACCAGTACTACCTAAAATGTAAAAACTCTCAAATCACTAGAACTTATTGGTGAAATTTACAGTATATATGTATGAGAAATGTGCTGTATCAGGAAATTTTACTAGTAGTAGTTATTTTGAAGCAAACTCTTAGCTGAAAACTCAGTTATACAATGTATGTTACCGGTAAATCAAGAAATCTATAAAAATTACTACAGGACAAAGAAAAAACTCTATGCTGACAAAGATCTGTCTCCCTTTGGCTAGCAGATTTAGGTCATTGCTTGCCATATACATGTTGATGTGTGTGTCCCAAGGCTTTCTTCCATCTACAGAAACATAGTACATTATTCTTGATAAGCTGTGTGGCTTGATAAGGTATCATGAGTAAGTTAGACATGGAGTGACGTACATGTACATGTATGGTATGGCACAATCACAGTTTAGGGCTCAAAATACTGGGTGCATGTGCACCTTAGTGCACCCAAAATTGGAGCTGTGTACCCAGTTTTTTTTCTGTGGGTGCACCAGTGCGCCCAAATATTTATGTACTAGGTATTTTTGTACATATCAAATGTATAATAGTATACAGGATATTCTTGGCATCAAAGTGTCAGAAAAGCAGTAAAATCTTTGTTGTAGTTTAAGATTTTGAAGTTAGCTCCCATTTCAGATGTTTTGTTTTATATGGTGCACCCCAAAAGTTTTTGTGCACCTAATTTTTTAGGTTGGGTGCACCAGTGCACCTATTCCCAAAAATGAATTTCGAGCCTTCCAGACTAAATCACACCAATTTGTTCAATTGGTTCTCATTTTTTTTTCTGATTTCAGGTTCTGAACTACTTTATAATTAGTAACTCCATTTAGCGATTTTCTTGATATACATGATATTCTTGACATTTAACTTAAGTGTTGGAAAAATCTAGAAAACCTTTCTTGTATTCCTTCTTAAGAATTTTGAAGTTCATCACCATCATTTTGAAGTTTATAATGTCTATGATTTGGGTTTGCAAAATGTTGGATGAAAAAATTTTTTCTGCACATGTCAATTTTTTTTAGATTAGGCATATACTAGTGCACGTATTCCTAAAAATGGATTTCGATCCCTGACATACATGTACATGTACATGTACATATCAGCATGATTCAGTGGTGTATCGACTGACCTCACCTCGAATGAGCTCAAGCCATAAGGAAGTTGACCCCATTGTTGGCTTAATGAACAGGACAGAAGTCAATACACCATATGTCTGTTACGTGTACTAGATATCCTCAACACATTTCTGATAAAGTCTTCTCTGTGAGTCATCTAAAAGCAGTTTCGAATTTTCATCTGACGTTTGGCCCAAATTTGAGTTTTGTCCATCGTAGTACACATGTACAAGTACAGGCAATGTAGCTCAAGTTTCAGTTTAGAGAAATGATGCTTTTTGGTATGTACTATTAAATGTCAGGGTAGGAAGATGTACAGGATTTTAGCACTGCCTTTGGTTTAAAGATTTGTTAATAGGAAAGTTTATTGCAAATACTTGCCCGAGGGCTAATTGCAGTTACAAACAACATAGTTACATAGGAAAGAAAATACAGTGGTACATGTACGTGAGACTATATGTATGTCTAGCATTATACTACATTCTACAACATACATGGTACTATAGTTTAAAATCGTAAATAATAATAATGTGATGAAAGTAAAATAACGTGGCAACTCACATAAGGGGCATTCCTTAGCCACGACTACATACATGTACAATCTATTAATTGGCATAATATTATATATTTGCTTTAATTAAGAAATTATGAATTTGAAAATGTGCTGCATGATACATCTAAGAGGGCTTGCAAAGTACAATGTAGCTTTGATAATTAACTCTGGATTTTTTTTATGCAATCACACTTGGCTGAAAAAAAAATGTCTAGATTATTTTTTTAACAACACAAAGATGTAGTTTCATTTTGAGCGATGGGAAATCTATGATTGTGTAGCCACCATTGTGTGCAATGAGGTGGAAACACCAGAACATATCTGGGACTAGCTGCCCTAGTTTTGTACCGTAATCTCTCACATCTGCACTGGTTACCGGGAATGGAACAGTAGCACATAAGAAGAAGCAATTATCCATTAGAGACTGACCCATTTTATCATTGACAGGGCTGTACCATTGAATTACCGGGGGGATGGGATCCAGACATGACTGGGATGGACCATTGAATTATTGGGGGGGGGGGTGATATCCAGAGCATGACTGTCAGTGATGTTGGCCTGATAGTGGATGTTGATCATTTTGCATTCAACTGTTGATGTAGTAGAACAGTTATGGCTTTTGGTTATGATTATAGCTGTGTATCTTTGAAACAAATTTTAGGAGGTACAGGTACAGGTACATGTAGTACATATGTTTAGGTACAGGACTGGTCACCAAGTACAGTAGGGGCATTGTCATTAGACAGCTTTAAACAATGTCTAGATTAGAAGTTCAAGGGTTAGGTGTAATAAGTCGATCAGTATAATATCGACAGCTGCCGCCGCGCCGCGTGCCTGCGAAGCTGGTGTGTTACGCCGAAAGGCGGTTATACCTGCTATACAGATACAGATACAGATATTAGTGTGCTAAATAAGAGTGATGGATATCACTTGAAACGTCCGGAAATAATCTCCATAATCTATCCAGTAGTCAAGTATGAATATTATTGTCATGACAGACAAAAATTTAGCCTAATCTGTCATCTTTGACAGACAAAGATTGGCCTGTAAAGATATATATATATCATTAAACCAAGCTTAGTCTACCAGCAAAATTTGTCCCTCAGAATGCAGGAATAGCATTCCAGAGGGTTGGGATTTCAAAATTTTCTCAGGGGAGCATCAGTTGCCTTGATTTTCATTTAAGTATTTCAGCTAATCAGTTTAATTGTGTTTGTTTTGTTATATTTAAGGAGAAGGGCGTGTACCTGCCTTTAAGGCTTCATCTTCTCCTGCACAGTGTTTTTAATTCAATTGACTTCACCTTGTATCTTGTTTTTTGTGCAAAATAAATAAAATAGAAAAAAAATACTAAATACTATTCTGTTTGTTCCCACAGGTGGTTCTGGTGTTCTTGCTGAGCTTGGGAGCTCTGGTGGTGTATCTACTCAACTCATCCGAGTAAGTCCACTTCCAGGTCCTCTGTGTGGATATATATATACTGTAGTATCAATTCAATCAGCTCTGAACCACACACACCCATACAACCTAATGAAAAGTACTGGCAATCAGCCTTTAGAGTGTTTTATACAAAATTAATTTTTTTTTCCTTATCATAAATTGTTTATAAATCAAGCTTAGTCACGTGTACATGATTGTGGAATTTTATGTCCAGGTATAAATTGAAGTATACAAAAAAAGACATACTGGTATCCTCCAAAAGAAAGAGAGCACCTTTGGCTTTAGTGCCTACTTTTTTTTTCCTAGGATGTGTTTTTGAGAATTTGTTAATTTTGATTTGTAAAATTCTGTATACTCAGAAAAGGAAAGGAGACTTTTACATAGCATTTTAAAGGTAGCAAAGACTTTATTTATAGTTACTACATAACAATGTCTGTGGTTACCATTGTTTTAAAAATTTCTTCCATTCAGTATCCAAAATATTTAGACTTAAGATAGCTGTATATTGTTATGCTCCCTAAAATATTGTTAGTTGTAATTTAAGGAAATTGACTTTTACCAGGGGTATTAAACATTGTGATTTATTGGCAATAAGACTGATTATAATGTTTTTCATCCAAATTTTAACAGGTTATGAATTATAAGTTGTTTATCTGTATGTGTCAGAAGACAGTTAGCTGGAAAAACAAATTTTCAAACAGCTGTGTTAGAAACAAATTTTAACAGCTGTTTTTATACATCTTCATGTCAAAAATATTTCTTTCAGATATCAAAGTTGCTTGCATGTATACCACCTTTAGCCATAAACCATTGCCACAATTTTTTGCCATATGGCTTGTTTCAAGGAACATTGGGCCACACCAATTTAATTTCTTTGTTAACGGATTTTTCTAGAAAAATAATGGAGCGGGCGGACAAAAATAAATAAATAAATAAAAACAGGCCTAGGCATCCTATTATGGCCCAAAATGGTACGATAGGAGCCATGAAGTCAACACACCAGGCTGGTTCAAAATGTAATCAATGAATTTTGAACTTTTAATGATACCATTGCATTGAAAGATGGAATAACTGTAACAACTAGGATGAAAAGGACTGTTTTCAACTGTTCAGGGCAAAATATGAGCATTTTGCAGTTGATTCTGAGTTTTTATTTTTACTTTTTTGAAAAATGAAGCGGGCGAATCCGTTAACCATGAAATTACATTGGTGTGGCCTTATAATCTTTTCTTTTCAATTTTTGGTGTTTTATGTTGAGGGAATTTGTACAAAAAATACAAACCTAGTGTTTCTTTGTCAATGATTGGTTACCGGAAGGTACAACTAATAACAACCAAGAATTCAGCACCACAAACAGGACTGGTGTAGGACTGGTGTCTCTCTTTCTTTGTCTTCACTTGTGCACTGGAGAATGGAAAAGATTGAATTTAATAGCTTGTCAACTAAATTGGTCTCAGTTTTCACTGCTTTGTTACCACAAAAAATTTCACTGAAATCTTTAGAACTTTTTTCCAGAAAGGAAAAGGGAGTTTTGACATGCATATATGCCTCTGTGATATTTTGTGCAAAATGTAAAATGAAGTCATTTTCAATATGCCAATATACAAAGAAGGAGCCAAACCTACCTTGTAATAATATATTAACCTCGAGGAAAACATGGAATGAACTTATTTGAACTTATCAAAATTTACTAACTCATTTTCATTACATATTCCCACAGTTTCCCCTATTATATTCTAGAAACCTTTCACTACTTATTAATCAAATGAGATTTTATTTCAGTTTATATAAACTTATATACGTTGAAACTGAAATATATCATTCATTTGATTAACGTTTTCATCTCTGTTTCAGTTAATTGAACTATCAATGAAAACAGTTTTCTATCAGTTGTTAGCCCTAACAAAACATCTTATGATTTTTTCATAAAGAGGCAGTTGGCTTGGAGATAGATTTAAATATATACTTTGTTTCATTTTGTGTTATGCAAAATGGAGCATGTTTATCATTTAATTTTTTTAGATATGTTGCATGGATCCATGATCTTATAATATTCATCTTTTTCACTCAAATATGCTTTTTTTTTCTTAGCAGCATGTTACATCACAATGACATCTTCTGCATTGCTCTTTTCCGTTGTGCACTTTTTGTGCACTTTTTTCTGTTGTGCACTTTGAGAAATTTCCCCCCCTCCATCATTCTTCCACTGGCTAACCTGTCCAAACTCCTCTCATGTGTACTATGGCTCCAGGAACACTACGGATGTGAAAGAGTGTGTGAATGCGCAATCAAATAGCTCTTGCAAGGTGGTGAGATATCTGTACGTAAGTAGTAGAGTTTTGGCGGCGTGTGCTCGAGCAGACCAATTCGCCCTCCGGAACAGAGGCCATACTAACATCTGATTTTTGCCCTGCACGATACTGTACTTTTACTCACATCACTCCCCATTACCCAAATTTCAGAGCACTTAAAGTCCATCCTCCCATAAACCTGTAAACGCTTTAAGCTATACATAAAAGAACTAACACAAAACAAGTTTCTACTGTCTCTCTTTTATGCTGTATCATATTTCCCCATTTTCACATCAGAGCCAAATCCTTTACCTTAAAGCCTTACCTTCTAAAACATCCATTCTATCTGCCTTTTAAAGAAAATCTTTTTAAATTCTTGTGTGTGAAGAGCTTTTAGGTCTGGGTTACTGGAGGGTCTCCTTGGTCTGCTGCCCACAGTCGCCTCAACAAACCTGTTGCGTTGCTACCTATTGGCTACCTTTTTGACGTTACGCCATGTGTGCACCGTATTGTGACTTCCACTGCATGGTTGGACATGTTTGAACCAGCTCCCCTTCTTAATTTTACCATCATCCCTATCAACCCAAAGTTATACATCGTTGTTCTCATATTTTCAGTTTCAACTTCACAACAAATTTAAAAAAATATATACAAGCTGTTGTAGTGTTGCAGTGTCGTGCAGTTCTTCTTATGATAGCTTGATTTTTTGTGTCTTCTGATACATAGTTAGCAATTTTTTTTTACAAAGTGTAAGTTAGAGATTTCCGTCCTTGGCGAAACCTTGGCAGGGTGTTATTTACTTCAATCTCCTTTCCTTATAAACCCCTCAGTCTATACCTCAACTTTCTCAAAAGATCTTCTGAGACTTTATTCTCCCATGGATCCATCTGATTGTCGTTTAAGACATCATTGAGATTGTAAAGAATTACAAACATCAGAATATCATTGTGACAGTGTTGTACATGTAGTTATGAAGCTTGCCTTTGGTTAAGATTTCAGAAAAGGCTTGTTAAGCTTTCTCTTAACCTGTAGAATTTAGTGCCAGAAATGTTTGTATTTTAGTACATACATGTATGTACTAGTTGTAATGATGATTAGATTTTTAAGCCTCGTAACATTCCTACCAGTGTTAAGCAAGCTCAGTTGCACTTTTTCCTAACACTGACTGATGCATCTTTTATATTCATGAAAAGTACATCTAAGTTGATTGTCATTGATGCTACTACCATTGGTTCACCCTCAGGTATAGTAATGCAGAAAGAATACATGTAATTGCAGGGACCAGTTGATAGTTTGTTCTACCCTTGCAGTTCAAATCTGTGTAACAGACTTTTCACTCCTTTTCTATACAATGAAACAGATAAAGCCAATGATGATGGTGGCATCACGGTCACCGTTTTTTTTAACAAATGTTCTTCTTGCTTATTTTCCAGCCAAATAGAAAAGTGCATAGTGTTCAGCCAGGAGACATTGCTACAAGTTGACTTTGGATTCAACATCATCTTCCTGCTGTATTTTGGACTACGAGTAAGTGGTAGGATTGTGTACTTGCATGCAATGGACGTGGTATGTGTGTATTGATACCTGATGTTGTCTAAATATACATATAGAGTACAACACGGTGTATTCCGTATCGCCCGAGGTATCGGCCTGACCGTGAGTCGGATCGCCCGAAGGCCGGGACCGAGGGCGATGCGGAATACACTGTGTTGTATTTTATTTATGTCATACCCACCCAAGAAAATGCACCTTTCAATGCAAAATGAGCCCAAGTTTGGTGTGCCTAAACTAAAAAATGCAACGGTTCAATTCCAACGTCCAAATTCTGTTTTCGAATTTTTGAAAGCGGCGCACACGGTTAGGGTAAAATGCGTTTGAATCGTTCTATGGAAGCCAGGGAAGCCCGGGCGTACCGTAAAGTACGGCCCGGTCCATCAATTTCAATGTCCAAATTCTGTATTCGAATTTTCGAAAGCGGCGCACACGGTTAGGGTAAAATGCGTTTGAATCGTTCTATGAAAGTCAGGGAAGCCCAGGCGTACCGTAAAGTACGGCCCGGTCCGGAACCCGAACGTTATTGGGGCCCGGGTATGATATAAATGTAATTATCATATGGCCAGATAATGTTAACCCTAATATACGGACTCATTCTACTAGAAGACCCTCAATACTGTGTACATGCATGTTGACAGCAGTGTCATGGTTGGGGGGGGGGAGATTGACAGGCAGAATGACGGGAGTCAGGAGTCAGCATTCAGGAAGCTGAGGATTGAATGAAGTAAAAAGTACATCATACAATCTCCTCAGTTATGAAGCAAGTTTAAACTGTAATTTCCAACACAAGAAATTGGACTCACCCAAATTTTTGACTGTACAACTCCAGTCTTTGTCAAGGAATGAACAATCCACCACCTCTGTGAAGTCACACAGATAACACACGTGAGCAGTGGATCATAGGTTGCAGAAAGTCTGTGGCGCCCCCCGTCTCTGTTGAGGGATGGTTGTAATGCCCTGATGTAGATGGCCTCTTTTAAAATCCCTTGTGCAAAGAAATTCGGCTCTGAGTCCAAGATTCTTACTTTGTCCAGTGAGACTGAGTGTCCAGGCGATGGAAATTACAGTTTAAACTTGCTTCATAATGATTGCTACCAACACAGATGAACTTTCAAGATAAAATCTCCTCAACAAATTTCACAATATACTTCCCAGAAGTCTGGAAGCTGTGATTGCTTGTTAACAGTTGTTACTTTGCATTTTGTAGTTCATAGCAGCCAACGACAAGCTATGGTTTTGGCTGGAGCTGAACTCCCTGGTAGACTTCTTCACTGTTCCACCAGTTTTTGTATCGGTCTACTTGAACAGAAGCTACTTAGGTAAGTATTGATAATTTGTTGACAGTAATTATCACGGTACAGATGTGACCATGAAAACAGTGAACATATTAAACTATCATGAAAAAAATCAAGAATTACAGTATTGTAAAAGTGCATTCTCATCCCATTCTACTTTTATTTAAATTAGTAAGTACCTAATATCAGATCAGAAAAGGACAAGAAAAAAATTAATACAATGATTATGTAGTCTTGCCTTCAAGTACCGGATCTCAACCAAGGATTGAGGTGACCGTGTTCAAAAACTTTTTTCCTAGAACTATGATGACTAATTGTAGAATGGAACTTGCTGCCACCAAGTATACAGTAGGAGCATTGTCACTAGATAGCTTTAAACAATTTTCAGAGTTGGATGTTCAAAGGCTAGATGTAACAAGTTGTATGGTGTAATGTAGCCAGCTGCCGCCGCACCGCGTGCCTGTGAAGCTGGTGTGTTACCCCAAAGAGCATTTGGTTATACTGGCTGTACAGAAACATAGAGTTTTTGTAGACTCAATAGTACATGTATGTTTGTTGTCATATAACACTAGATAATATACATTGTACAATATATCACTATGTACTGTATGATTGGTTTTATATTTTGAATTAGGCCACACCAATTTAATTCCTTGGTTAATGGATTTGCCCGCTTCATTTCTTTCTGATTTGAAAAAAAAAAAATTTCAGAATCAACTGCAAAATGCTCTTATTGTGTAAATTTTGAACCAGCCTGGTGTGTTGACTTCATGGCTCCTATCATACCATTTTGGGCCATAATAGGATGCCTAGGCCTGTTTTTTTTTTTTTCGCCCGCCCACTTCATTATTTTTCTAGAAAAATCCGTTAACCAAGAAATTAAATTGGTGTGGCCTAAGTTCTAATATTTGTTTCTGACATACAGGTCTTCGGTTCCTGAGAGCTCTTCGTCTCATCCAGTTTTCAGAGATTCTACAGTTTTTGAATGTTTTAAAGACAAGGTAAAAGTTTTTAGCTCATTATACTGATCTTCATATTGATAGAACTGTTATAAAAAAATGTGTATAGTTGTTTGGGTAAAAATACTTTTCACAGATTGAAAATAATTCATATCTACACAATTTTTCCTCCGTCTTGGTTTAAGAGTTAGTCTATTTCCATGTTATTGTCATAGAAATGTAAGTATGAGTGCAAATAATAATCTATACTGTACAAATTTAGGTGTCTGACTGATACACATGACAGACCTAAACTTCATTTCACACAATGCACTTGCAGTGCATTTGAAAAAAATTATTACAATTTTCTTTTAATTTTTAAATAACAGCAGCTGTTGATTTTATGAACAGTTTCATTGATGTTTTACTCAGACAAATACATATTGATATATTTGTATCCTGAAAATGATAACATGCCATTTCATACATTTGTACCTCCTTCCCAAAATCATATACCACAATCATATTATAGTGCACCAAAGAAAAAAATCTAAATTGTTATATCAGTCAACATTATGAGAACCTTTTTAAACCCAGGACCACTTCTGTCCATTTTTATTTTTTATTTTTTTGCAGCAAAATTCTGTTTATGATATTTTGTGCTCCATATATACAACTCACAATATTGCATTGGAAAATTATGTTGCATGCTTTATGGACAAATTTGGAGCATTCTAAAATTTGTTGTCTGTTTTCAGCAAAAGAAAATATAAAAAATCAATGAAAATCAGCAAACTTTACAATTAGCGGTAAATGCTTATTAATAAATGATCATATTTCAAAGAAGTAAAAGCAATATGTAATTTTGGCAGTTAACATCACTTGTTGCACTACTGTAATATACATCATGTACATTTACTTTCATTGGTAACCTTCAGTGTTCTAGCCAGCCTAAAATTTTTCCGTCATCTCAATTTTGTTTGACGTTTGATCATATCGAGCGCTGGAGACCCAACAAACCTAGGGCGGTCGGGGGACGTGCTCCGGAAAAATTTTGACCCTCTGAAATGCTATTCCCTGCTTTTTGAGGGATAAATTTTGCTGTTAGTGTAAGCTTAGTTTAATAACATATTCTTTCTTAGGTCACACGAATTTAATTTCTTGGTTAACAGAATTCATTTCTTTCTGATGTGCAAATAAAAATAAAAATTCAGAATCAACTGCAAAATGCTCAAATTTTGCCCTGAACAGTTGAAAACAGTCCTTTTCATCCTAGTTGTTACAACTATTCCATTTTTCAATGCAATGGTATCATAAACTTTTTTAGTTTAAAATTCATTGTTTAAATTTTGAACCAGCCTGGTGTGTTGACTTCATGGCTCCTATCATTCCATTTTGGGCCATAATAGAATGCCTTGGCCTGTTTTTATTTATTTTTTTTTTCGCCCGCCCGCTCCATTATTTTTCTAGAAAAATCTGTTAACCAAGAAATTAAATTAGTGTGGCCTTATCTTAAAAGTTTACACCCTGATTGTTGTCCGTCAAAGATGACGGATTGGGAAAAATTTCCGTCAAATGACAGAATGACAGACGCTGGCTAGAACACTGAACTTCATCATTCCCCAGGGCCATCATGAGTACTAATCCTCTCCTGCCATTGCCTTCCCACACATGTAGCAATTCAATCAAGCTGGTAAACCTGATATCCATATTCTTCAGTGTATGGATGACTGGCGCTGGGTTCATCCACCTGGTAGGTCCCACCACCACACCCCCTCCACCGCACACAAGGGTTAGAACTCACACAGGCTCAGGCAAGGGCTTTCACACTTTCCGCCGAAGGTGGCTTGCTTTTGATAGAAACCACGCCCACAGGGCAACCAGGGTTGTCTCAAGTATCTGTTTGTTTGTTTATTTGTTTGTTTATTTATCCAGGAAATACATGTCGCCTAATGGCGATTTTCTAAGGTTCCTGGGGGGAAAAAAAACCAAACAAAATTCATTAACAAAATGAACTCAAGATTAACAAAGGTATCAAATAATGCAGATTACAAATTGAATACAAAATCAAAGTAAAATCTGTCTCAAGTATCTGTTTGTTTGTTTATTTATTTATTTATTCAGGAAATACATGTCGCCTGATGGCAATTTTCGAAGGTTCCTGGGGGAAAACCCCAAACAAAATTCATTAACAAAATGAACTCAAGATTAAAAAGGGTATCAAATAATGCAGATTACAAATTGAATACAAAATCAAAGTAAAATCTGTCCCTCCATTCCAGTCTGGGAGGAAAATTTGCTTGTTGTGGGGGGATGGATAGAGAAAAAATTCTAAAAATCAGAACTTTGTGGCAAAAAAATCATTAAGAAATATTTTCATAAGCTTAAAATGATATATCTAACAATGAAAATTTTACTCGATGAAAATTCGCTTCTTAAAAAGTGTGAAACAAAATTTCAGGGGGATGGAATTTTGTATTTGTACTAAATTTCCTTGAAATCACATACAAGGAACTGCCTAGTCTTGCAAGCGCCCAAACCTGCACCCCCCCAGAATGAGTGGTACAGCCCTGATTGTTCCCACAATTTGCACCAGCCAGAAAGTAAAAAAATGGGGGTGGGTTCTACCAAGTGTAAGGCAGTTCCTTCTGAGGAAAGCGTGGAAGTTCTTGCCGCCAAGCCGCAACACGTGACACAATGGGTAGACTTCACACTGTTCCTGCAGACGTAAAGGCACACTTACTGTTGGGCTACTGAACTGTTTCTCCAACCTAATGATGGAGTCTCAAAACGAATGAAATACAAAACATTAATTTAAATCTGTGGCATTCGTTGAGCGACCTGTTGAATGTTTGGTTGCTCTGCAGTCTAGTGGAAAAGGGTTGTAACTGTACGGTGACAGTACCAACTTTTGCGAAAGTGGTGTTTAGTGCCGCATAGGTGCAGCATTGATGCTGCACTGACCTGGCATTTTCGGCATTAATGCCACCTTACTAGTCCAGATCCCTGGGCAATTTGGCACTAGTGCTGCACTACTTACATACATTTAATTCTGCTACCAGAGACTTTATCAAAAGCAATCCACTTTGGCAAAGCACTAATTTTCCAGAACATACAATGACAAAACTAAAGTTTGCCATTGTGGGGTCGTGTGGCGCAACAGCAGCGTTTGTGACTCTGCCCCGGGTCCTGACATGCCACCGATCTTGTGCCCTTGGGAAAGGCACTTCACACGACTTTCCTCACTAGACTCAAGTGAAAATGAGTATTGTCTGTCCAGTATTCGTTTCTATGTGCGGGACAAAACACCAGCAACAGCTGCCTCTGTTCCGCGTGTATTGCACTGTTGCAATTTCAACAAATCAAATCAAATCAAATAAAGTTTGCGATGATCATGATGCTAACAAGAGCCAACAGTGTGTTGCATGTCTGCAGGGGTGGGGTGTGGTATATGACGGTTAAACTGTTTTTAGTTTAGCCCTTCCTCACACCTGCCGCTGTCGTCTCTCCCGCCCGCAGCAACTCCATCAAGCTGGTGACTCTCCTCTCCACTTTCTTTAGCACCTGGCTAACAGCCGCTGGGTTTATCCATTTGGTGAGTCCATCTCTCTGCCTTCCGTGCTGAACGCGGCTGTGCAGCAAGAATGGATGACCTCAGGATGCACAAAAATACCCGCCCTCTTTTAATAACTTCAACTTGAACTCACTGAGTAGTAGAGAATTGTCAGTAGCACTTAGGGTGACTACTAACCCCTAGGCTTTAGCTGTTTTTTGTAAGTTGTGAACATATTCGAATTCGTTAAAAATATACTAGCTATCCCTACTCATTGCAGGAAATATACTGAGAAATGCACAAAAATACTCGCCCTGTTTTAACTTCAACTTGACCTCACTGAGTAGAGAATTGTCAGTAGCACTTAGGGTGACTACTAACTCCTAAGCTTTAGCTGTTTTCTGTTGTGAAAAGATTTGTTAAAATCAGACTAGCCATCCCTACTTATTGCAGGAAAATATACTGAGAAATGCATAAAAGTACCCACCCTCTTTTAACTTCAACTTGACCTCACTGAGTAGAGAATTGTCAGTAGCACTTAGAGTGACTACTAACCCTGTAGCTTTAGCTGTTTAATGTTGTGAACAGACTCGTTAAAATTAGACTAGCTATCCCTTAAGCTACTCAATGCAGGTAATATACTGATTCAGAAATGTTTCAAAGTATCTCTTTATCTCTGACAGGAAAAATTTAGCAAATTATTTAACTTGGCATAGACCAACTTTTCCAGTCCCACTACAACTAAGTTTAATAGGTGGGAATAAAAATTCCCTTTTCATACAGGTTAAGTTGCTAACAATTTAAGATTCTGAATTGATTAGAAGTACTGTAGGTCAAACCAGGTTGGTCAAATAGCACTGTCTCAGTATCATTAGCTTTAACCTGTGATCAGTTGTTTGTAATTTTCTTGTCCCTCAAATTCTATTCTGCTATGAATAACAGTCTTACTAGAGGTTCTTCCGTTTTGAACCTTCTCTTGCAAGAATTCTTAGTTGAATGGCTTTTTGCCTTATGCGTGCATGCTAGGCGGTAGATGTAGTGAAGAGTGCATGCCTCTTAACACAAAGAAACTTTTTCTAACCACTCTAATAAACAGAGTAACAGATTATCTGTAGTGTAATATAAGTCCTGATTCAATGCCATGACCTCAGTTTTCTATCTAAAGCTGTAAGAAGAAGCCTTTGCCAACATATAAGACAGAACAAAATAACATTGTTGTAGAAGTTGTTTTACATGAAACAGAATCTGATGCAAAAAAATCAGGTATTAGGATCATTAACAATAATATTGATTGATTTAGGTAAAAGCCAAGGACCCATGCAGTTGGTATTCCAGTACACAATATCTGATTCAAAGACACGTAATGGGCCATCTTTCAAAGTAAGGCCATGTTGATTTGATTATATGGATGACATCCTCCGGGAGCCCCAAAACTGATGCGCGCGTGCGAATAAAAAAAAAGTTTTGCAAAAAAAAAGTTCTTTTCATTATGAAATCTACGTGGTCATGAGGGTTGAGCAAATGGCACAGAATATGGTTTGGCGAATTATCTAGTCTTCAAGTTCATTTCTTTACAATTTCGTCTTTTTTCGTTTGATTTTGGCATTCTACGACATTGGTATAGTTTTTATTAATTTTTTTTGTAACTTATGGTATATTTTTGCTCATTTTGCAACTGTTTTGTACGATTTACAGTCCGGTTGAAAACTTTTTTTTTTGGAAATGGCCGAAAATTCATGCGCGCGCGGATGTCATCCATATAATCAAATCAACATGGCCTAACAGCAAAAAACTACTGAAAAGAATTAGTTTAATTCAGAACCTTCTACCCTTTAATAATGACAAACAACAGATTTGCAACTGCATTTTGTTGATCCCCTATCATTGAAAAAACACAAAACGAAGTAGCAAGACAAAAACTGAGGTGATGTCATGTACAACGTATTCATAATTCTAGCATGCCCTTATTAGAAATCTTGCTAACATTTTGAGCCAAGGCTAACTGTAGATAACACAATTTCTAGAAGCCGGTAGATGCCTAATTTGTGCAGTTTCCCCTACTAGTAGCATCCTCAATTCATCCAGTCTTGCTTTCTGTTGGCTTTGTACTTTATGATTTTGGTCCTTGGTTCTCCTTGCTCATGAAGTGCTGTAATAATTGGAGTCTTTCAGTCATTTTACATTTCCTGGGTTTTATCCTTTCATTCTTTCTGTGAAATGTATGGATTCATGTGACAAGAATGTTAATTTTGTTGCCCTGAATGACCCCAAGATTGTTAAATGAACATTCACTTCAACCGCTGGCTTTTTTGGTCAAACAAGTCCAAGCCAACTTGTGTTGATAATGATATATGTCCACTGGGGTCACATGCAATATAGCACAATCAAACTACATGACATTGTACATAATATCTAATACAAAAGGCACAGGTTGCACTGTTGTAGCTACATTCTGGTTCTTGTACTGCCCTATTTCAAAACTTGCCAGGAAAAGACCTGCACATGTACATGTAACCTCAGAGCTATAACAGGGAAGGATTTTCCATGTGTTTGGTTCTTTGAAAATGCAGAATTACAACATTGACTTGTCATAGAAAGGATGTTGAAATTGTGCTGGTTTTAAGTGTACTTTGAGCTAAGGAAGTATCGATACTGAAAAAAAGCACATTTTTATGATAAAAGTGAGAAATTGCCAAAGTTTGGACCTCCCTAGATTTGAATTATGTTTTACTTGCTGATAACAGTATAAACTTATAAAGCTGAGTATCAAAATTTCATCCAGAAATCCAGTTTTAAGTTTGGTGAGCTCATACAATAACTGGTTGGAGATAGCAGTGAATATATTAAACATTATTTATGGGTCATCCAGGAATACCGGTAAACCATTTGGACAATTGCTAAACCTTTTAACTTGAAGGGCTTTAGGCCACATTCATTCAGGAAACAGTAATTTCGTATGAGTAAGTTAGGGAGTATGTTCTACTCTGAGGCATCTTTTAATCTAGGATCTAGATCTTGAACTGATGTCAAGGAGCTAATTTGGGCTATTAAAATAATGCAGCTACATACAGTTTTTGTAAAAAAAAATGTTAGCTGTTTTCCAAAGTAAAAAAAAATATAATAATTGATAACAATAATGCAAAATTACATGTAGTTTCAGATGTACAGTTCAGCTGTGTTTTGTTGAATATACATTTTGTACGGTGATCCTGTTGAATAATATGGGTTAACTTTTACGAAATTCAATACCTATTATGTATTATTATTAGTAAGAAATTCACCCTGTTTTTTTCCATGTCTACAGCTATCTAACATCTTTATGTCTTCTAACAATCTAATTACTATGGATCATGAATGACAATTAGCAATTATTGTCTTTTCATGGTCCAAGACTTGTGGGGATCAGATACTGATACAGTCAAGTCTAAAACTGATTCATCATAGGCCACACCAATTTAATTTCTTGGTTAACGGATTTGCCCGCTTCATTTTTTTCTGATTTGCAAAAAAAAAAAATTCAGAATCAACTGCAAAATGCTCATATTTTGCCCTGAACAGTTGAAAACAGTCCTTTTCTTCCTAGTTGTTACAGTTATTCCATCTTTCAATGCAATGTTATCATTAAAAGTTCAAAATTCATCGCCTGTTTTTATTTTTATTTTTTTCACCTGCCCGCTCCATTATTTTTCTAGAAAAATCCGTTAACCAAGAAATTAAATTGGTGTGGCCATAGGGTTGCATAACATGGATCAGCATTCACTTAAATACTGACATTCAAACACTGCATAACACACAACACCACCATATGCATATACTGCCTGATAATTATGATATTATGCATGAAAAATGCAATTAAATGCATCTATTTGTTTACCACTATTTTGATGCTAAGATAATTTTTTAAGCCACATATTTTGTTATAACAATTCCACGGTGTGTTTGTCTTGCTATGCATGCCTTTTGCATGGGAGAGATGTTTAAAATGAATTTATTATTATCACAATAAATTTGCGAACATTAGCTACTGTGCACCTGCTGGATGTGGACTTCTCATAGGTTTGCCACACTTGTCGTTATTATTTTCATAGCTTTTTATAATCTTCATACAAGGATTTTTTTAAAGAATTCAGGTATTCTCCCCTTTTTTTCTAAATTAGGAAAATTAATGTTCACAACATTGTAGTACAATGTATAATTTTGAGTTCTAGAAGGACAGCTACTTTTTTTGGATTTTGTTGGAGCATGCGAAAGGGGAGAATGGACTGTTTTTTGGAAGCATGTACTGTATGTCTAATGCTGTAATGTGCAATATCAGGTGGAGAACTCAGGGGACCCATGGCTGGACTTCAAAAACAAGCATCCTTTAACTTTCATGGAGTGTATGTACCTTCTGATGGTCACCATGTCTACAGTAGGGTACGGAGACATCACCGCTACCACTTCAGTGGGAAGGGCATTTATGGTTCTATTTATTCTAGGAGGGTTGGTAAGTTGGCATGTGTTTGTGTACCGTCTACTAACCTTGCGTCCGCATGGTGTATCCGTTTTTTTAACGCCACGCAGGTTGAAAACTCGGGGGATCCATGGCTGGATTTCCAGAACAAGCACCCCATGTCATACTGGGAGTGCCTGTACCTCATGATGGTCACCATGTCTACAGTCGGCTATGGAGACATCTTCGCGACAACGTCACTGGGAAGGGCGTTTATGGTAGTGTTTATCCTCGGAGGCTTGGTAAGTAGCGGACCCTAAAAAAAAACACCCTCCTCGCCTGTCGCGCTGCCATCTCTGCCAACAACTGTCCTCCACCATCGTTAATTAACTGTCTTTTTTAAGTCCAAGTTTTTCAGCATTTGAAAATTAAAAGCTGTTTGATCTGCAGTTGATTTGATGTGAGTTGCCATGATTGTATTCTTCCTATCGCCATGTCATTTGTTGGTGATCATGGTCATGTCAAATTCATGTTGAATTTTTCAAACAATTTTTTAAATTATTCTTTGCAAAGTTAACGAGCCTTGGTAATGTAAAATGTTTTCTCAGTTATTGTGTGTCCTTAAACAAGTGGCTATTTGAGAAATGATGTATTTCTTCTAGTTTTTTTACCAAGATTTTTAAAAGATAGCCAAATGTCATGATATGATTTATTCTCTCTTTATTTGTAACTTCTTCACATTCTATCTCTTGCACACAATACAAACTTAAGTTACTATTTTTCACTGCATGATTACATTGTGTAAATGGGCATATTTGACAGACTGAATTTTATTTCATATTGCACTCCTGGTAAGTTTCTTGACTGTTTCCACACATTTGTATCTGTATCTCCTCCAACTTTTTCACAAATCTTCCAATGACTTTTTCTTCGTAAATAACACGTTTTTAAATCACTCTATTTCTCTCTGCTCACTTCATTACAACTCTCTCTTTCTCTCTCTCTCTTTCTCATCATTTTTTGTATGAGTGAATATTTCTTCTGTACTGTCACTAAGGGCTGTGTATGTATTACAAGTTATTTGTTAATCAATCTTTAGTATGAAGTTGTTTTCTTTAAGACCTAAATAGATAAAATCATTTTAGTCTTACATTTTAATTTTACATGATCATTGTACAATTATAAAATTTTCTTTAGTTTCATGTTTCACCATGATTACACTCAATATTATATACTTTCTAAATACGAACTGATAAACAAAATGTAAAAAAAAATCAACCATTGACAAATGACAACATCTTGAAAAAGACCTTATGTACATAATGTGTAATTTCCCAGATCGTAACATATTATTAAGTATATTGAATTTTTACAAAATAATCATATGTTAATCACTAAGTCTATTAATATTTGTAGAAAAATACAAAAGACTGTATCGCAAAGGACAAGTCATACAAGATGGTCTAATGGTCTATGTTGTTACATTATAATGTCTAAAATAACTACTACATGTACTTGTGTTACGATATATAGAACTGCAGTATAGAAGTCACAAGAAACTTTCATATCATTCTTACCTTGTCATTTGCAGGCAAGAGTGAACTTCATTATTGACAGATTTGTATAAAGCATAGGATACAATATATTTTAACCAGGTATATTATAGATATTGTTAGAAATGAACAGTATTTACATAGTAATAATCGTATCAAATTTCTATAACAAAAACATTATCATGTGGCAGTAAAATGTAAACTAAAAACACATTTTTTTAATTATTATGAAAGAAAATTATTAAGATCTTAAACTGACAGTGATAGAAATGTGACAAGAACATGGTGGACATCTTTTATTAGAGTATGAAGCAATGTTTGAAGTCAGGAAAAACATAAATTATCCAACCTAAGAAATTGAAGATATTTATTTACTAGGTAGTTTATGATGCAGCAGTTTAGAATTTTTCTGTTCATAAGGGCATAATTTACATTTTGATAAATATAGTACTAGATGTAGACTGAAATCATTATAGTTTAATTATAAACATAAACAAATATTTTATGGTTTCTAGTATTTCTAGACGTATAAATTTAATTGATATCATTATAGAATCAAATTCTTCAGCCAATCTACGATAATCATTGGAAAGTAACAGTACTAAAAATGTTCAACATGGTCTAATTTGTATTTTTGTGAGTTGAAAGTTTATGTTTCTTATTCATACCTCATGAGTTCAAAAGCTTCATGTCCCATTCCAACCATTTTCCAGTCACCTTTCATCAAATGCATACAGTATATCTACCCAAATGTATGACATTAGCTTCAATAGATACTTTAACATCTGTATCCATACATTGTAATATCACCAAAGTCCATAATATCGCCACTTTGAGAAAAAGTGTGCAAAGATATTTTTACTGCAATATACCCTAGGTATGTACATTTGATGTGTGAAGGAGTGCATACCAAAAGTATGTTGCAGTAAAAATATCTTTAAGCACACTATTTTTCAAGGTGGCGATATTATGGACCCTGGTGATATTATGGACATGGATGTTACATGTACCACTTGCATAATATACAATTGTTAGCAATACACAACTTTACATCAAACTGTACCACATTTGTAAAATATTCATAGTTGTCTACAGTATTATAATTGTATTCATAAGAAGTTGCTTCAATTTTAGCAATAATTATATATAGTCTTTCTAAGGGACTGGAGGGGCCAAAAGATATCCTGTGTCTGCTTATATTTAAATTGTCCAGTTCAAAGTGAAATTCCATTGATAAAATCATGTTTTTCCCATGTCTGTATGTTTTCTGCCTGCATGAGTTGATGCTTGAGTGTTATCAAAATTAGATTACAAAAAATGAACAATGCTCTGTCATTTAGAAGTGTGGCTACTTTTCATGATGCTTTATTGTGTGTTTTCTGTGAGCCTTCTCATTCATCTTGTTTCAAAACTTTTACAGTCCAACCATGATTCTATCTGAAATAATGATTGTGTAATGAATTCCCACGTTTTTACGCTTTCTTGTGTAGAGTGGCACACAAGGGTCATGGAAACAAGTTTAAAATGTTTTTATTCTTTTGAAATTTTTGAGACTTTTCTTGAGCACCAAGTTGAATGCAGAATTGTTACAGTAGTAATTACCGGTATGTGTCAAACTTGCCCAAAAACGTAATCTTAAGGGTTAAAATTAAACCAAATTTGAAAGATGTACGTAGAGATTATCGTGCTCATTGATGACTTGATGAGCTCATCCACAGCCTTAGACCAACTACAGTAAAAAAAATTACAAATAAAAACAAAATTACAGTCAACAGAAAAGTTGGTCGTAGTACAATATACCACAACCCAGTACTGGTGCAGTTTTGACCATGAAAGTACACGAAAAAGTCCAGTCAGAGAGCTCTCTTCCCCTATTTCATCATCAAATGTGGAAAAAATTCTTCTGTCATCATCAATCGATAACTTCTTTGTGGAAGGTATTAAGATCCTTTGAGTGTCAAGATGTTTTGGAAAGCTCACAGACAAAATAATTGTTACATGAAAAGTAGACAGTTTCTCTTTGATGGAGAATGTTGACTTCCTGTAATCTTCTTTTGATGATGTTCTTCACAAACTTTTACATGTCTTAACACCTCTTTTAGCCTTGAAAAACATTCAGGCTGTTTAATATACATGTATTTATTTCATGCTTTAATTTTTATATTACACAGTCACATGCATGTTCCCTAGAACGGTGGTTTAACCAGCATAGGTGGCTACACCTGTGCGTTAAGCCACCACTTATGATATGAAAGCATATAATATCCTGTTTGTTTTGTTGTTATGTATTTTGTTGTGATTTTCCCCTGTCCTCTAGGCTATGTTTGCTAGCTGTGTGCCTGAAATCATAGAGCTTATAGGCAGCCGCAAGAAATATGGAGGCTCGTACAGTGCTATTAGTGGCAGAAAGTAAGTTCTGTTGTGACTCCTTTACTGTTTGTAGTGAAGTATTTCAGGCCACTCGGCCAGCAACGTATGTCTTGTCTGTGCAGATTATAGCCACTAACTTTCCTTTTCTGTTGTGGCAGGCAGAACCATCCCAGATTAGCTTTAACTTAAAATATGAAGTGTTCCAATAGTCTGTACCCCCATGCGGCAATGGAATCTTCCAACGCCATGGGACCAAAATGGCAGATTTCCAAATTGGAAAGTCACAGAAATTGATTGTTTTATTTTTTAATCTTAAAAAAGTTGAGGTTAAATTTAGTCAAGCTGCAACAGAAATGAACCATCAATGCCCTCTGGTCATATATAATATGTGTAACTTTTCTAACAAGAAGAAAAATTAATTTTTTACATGTAATATACGCATTTGTATGTCGGGGAATGCTACTTTTCTTGTTTTGTCTCTTGCTATTTTCTCAGTATTGGAAGCCTTTTGTACAATGGAGAGAATTTGCAAAGGGCTGCTACCATTGAAAAAGTAGTAAGAGACAAAATGGTTCCAAAGAAAAGTGGAATTCCCAAAGTTTGTGTTCTAATCTTTCAATACGGTAGCACCAGTTTACATTTTCCTCATGAAGGAAAATCTAGAAACCAATGCTTTTTTTGCCATTGTGATAACAAAATGATCCTAACACTAACTTAGGGAAGTACATGTATACTTTTTTTAGGCTTTGCAGTTTTGGCTTGTAGGTCCAGGAACAAAAGACATAATGAAAGTCGTACCAACCATTTAATACATTTAGCTACACGCGTGCCAAATTTGGTGCTTTTAGGCAAAAGTGGACAATTTTTCAGCTACACTGTATGCCGCTGGACTACTAGCACAGGTATAGTCAGTTGTTTTAATGGAAACTGAAAGCAACTGAGTATGGGATTTTTTTTTCAATATCAGTTAGTGGAAACTGTAGGACGAACTAAAGTTGATCCATGAATTTACATGTATTATAGAATATCTTTCACATATGTCCAAGTTTATAGTATTAGGCTTGTAGCATTTTTCAAAGTTTATGAATTTAAGTAGCTCAGATGCAGAACAGGTAACATTCAATCCTCTCATTTTAATGCTTTTCTGGGTATGGTTGAACTGCCTGAAATATTCACTAGAGTTCCGATCACACAAGTGAATATAGAAATGAAATGTTGTATCATTCTGTATAATTATGAAATCTTCTTTTCAGCAGCTTCAAAAAATGTTTACAGGATTTTCATGCGTTTTTTTTTTCTGTCAACAGAAAGCATTTTAAATTTACAATGTTATGGAATACAACATACTTTTTGTCGTGAAGGTCATACAGAAAAGCAATATTTTTTAGACCTTTTTAAAAAGATCTCCTTTTTGCTATTATTGTGCTTTTTGTTGGTGTACTGTGTATGTTACTTGAATGTATAGTCTAATTATTCTCTTTCAACATTATAGGTTTTTACATTAGGGCCTTATTTAAGGAAAGAAAAAAATTGTATCTTCAAGTTGGTTTTTCATATCTTTGTATAATTTAAAATTCTGAACAGATATAATTATTGTTTCATTAACCAACATCTGGAATGTTGAATATTTTATGATTTACTGATAAATTTCTTCATATGTCTTAATTTATCAGACATGTTGTGGTGTGTGGGCACATCACATACGAGAGTGTGTCGAACTTCCTCAAGGACTTCTTGCACAAAGACAGGGATGACGTAAATGTGGAAATTATCTTTCTTCACCCGTAAGTTCTCAAGCAGACGCGCGTTGTGTCTCAAAGGTGTCTCTCTCCTCGGCTTATGTGTGCTGGTTGCCTATCTTCTCTGTGGGCTATGATTCTCTGTATTTTGTCTCTCTGTTATTTCTGTCAGACACATTATAGTGTGCGGCCACATCACGTTCGACAGTGCCTCAAATTTCCTCAAGGACTTCTTGCACAAGGACAGGGATGATGTCAATGTGCAAATTGTGTTTCTGCATCCGTAAGTTTTGCTGGTTCTGTCTCTTGGTGCTGTGTGACGTGGTTGACAACCAACCCCCCTCCCCCCTCCCATCCATTGTCATCCATACAGCAGTCTTACCCTCCCCACCTTTCAACAGGGATCGGAAGTTTTCTGAGTAAGGCTTGAGGATCTGAAAAAAAAAACTGCATGCCAATAGGTGTTCTTGAAAAAGGAAAAGAAAAACAATGTCTGGCCTCATGTATTTTGATACTGTAGGAGAGGAAAAAAATATGCTATCTAGACTTAAAAGTTTTCCTAAAAAAAAAAAATTTCTCAATTTTATGCTGACAAAAATACATAAATCAGACGTAATTTGAAAAAGTAATTTGTTACCATGAGAGAAAAAATATGCTATCAAGATTTCCAAAAAATAAACTTGAACGTGTCATTTTTATGCTTACAAAAGTACATTGTACATTCATGACTAAGACAGGCATTCCTTGAAAAAGTACAATATGTTTAATTTGATATTCTATGTGAAGAAAAATACGCTTTTAATGAAATATACTTTCAAGACTGACAAGTTTGAAAAAAAATTATGCCTTCAAAAGTATTAAGATATCAAGGCATCACTCAGATAACATGTACTTTTAAGATCCCATCTGCTCTCCCTCCATCCATCCAACCATCCCTCCATCATGCTAACCTCTCTCTTCCTTCTAGTGGTAGTGTGAGCATCGTCCTGTTCAGTGTTGTACCCCTGAGATCCATGTGCAAGAAAGAATCCACCCCATATCTTCCTTCATCACTAGAATCTACCAGCAGAATTTCTCAGTCCCATTTCCTATTAAAAAAATTTACTATCATGTCTTCACACATTTCTCTTGTGCATCTTAAAAAATTCTGTGTTGTCTGGTATATGAAGAAACAAAACTTGATGTGGACATGAAAATGTATATCCCCATTCTTTTAACTCAAGACTTCACCCTATCCCATTCAGATTTACCAATTCTCATCACCAATGCTAGTGAAAAATTGCTTTATTCTGCTCTCTGTGTTGTCCTAACTCTTGACATAAACTCAAAGGCATTAATTGATTCCTAAAAGCTGATTTGAACTGCTAACCCTGCTTTGGTATCCAAAAACTTAAATTAGAAAAAAAAAGACTCTTTGCGTAATACTGATTCCCTTGTCCATGCACATGCACAGAATATTTGCTTCACAAAACTTTGCTGATGACTCTTGAAGCTTTCATGCCCACTACCACTCTTGAAATCAAGCATTTGTCACCTCCTAAACCATTAACCAGACCCCCCACCCCCTTCCCCATCTTGCATGACCGCATGCAAGCATGTACGATATACTACCAACAGGCTCAATAGTGACATATGTGGCTCAAGCACTGGCAGAAACTATCCCTAAAGCAGTGCAGTTGCATGTGTCACATTGCCCACTCTGGCAGTGCCTTATCCTTTATACTTGATAGTTCCATGTCTTGATCAAAAACCTGCCTCAAATGTATACTGAAGCTACCTTCAAGTTGCTCCAATGTTTTCTTTGCTTTACTGCTTTTGCTAATGTTTCACATGTGCCTGTAGTGTATGCTTTCTCTTTTCAACATTTTTTGGCATATCTGTAACCAAGTACATTGCATAATAGAAAATGCCTTTTTAATGTTTTCAAGAATGTGTATTAAGGATGAAATGTTTTTCAATCACATTATATAGTGGCATGATGCATTAAAGGTCATAAATACGTTTTGCATTTGCTGAAAGGTACATATGTATCTATAATTATTAATATGTACAAAAAGTTGCTATCTCTGTAAAGCTGAATGATTATGAGCCATTGTATATTAGGTATGAAATTCTTAATTGAAATTCAAATGCATAATTTGTGCCTGCAGGGAGCTATCTATAGTGCTAGTATCATGTATATGACGCTCGTATGTTGGGCTTCTGATATGTAATGATATGAAAGGATTTTATTATAATCTTCTGTTGCCCACTTTTCAGTTTACCTCCAAACCTTCAGTTGGAGGCACTTCTCAAGAGACATTTCACACAGGTGGAGTTCTTTGAAGGCTCCGTCTTGAATGCTGGAGACTTAGCTAGAGTAAAGGTAGGTACAGTTTGCAAACTTTGTGTGACAGCAACGCCAACTTATGCTTATGCACCTTTTGCCAATATGTCTTTCTTGTGACTTTACAGGGCCTTTTTTCAGGACTTGCTTGCTGTGTTTTCAATGTTTAGAATTAATATACAGTATTCTTTCCCAGAATGTCTTTAGAAAAACTGTGAAATCTTGCTTGCATACGAAAAACATGCCCCAGTATAATGCAAAGTACTTGGCTTTCAATGGCAATCTAGAGAGCAGGATGCAATTAGTTAGCAATTAATTAGGTACAATAAAGGTCTTCATTAATTAATTATCAGGCAGATGCTAATGGCTTAAAGTTTATAAGACTGCATTGAGCTAAATAATGAATAGTCCCTTTCTGCCGTGTGAAGAGAGTATGGATATAAAATGTCTATACATATTCCAGTTTGTAAAATGTCATTTTTCAGTAAACATGTCTCTATATATATACTTCATCATGTCTTTCCATCCCTTGTTTAGAAATGTCTCCATCTTGTCTTGTGTCCGGTAGCCTTTTTATAGACATTTTCTGCTCTACTAGTGAGTACAGTAAGTCCACTACGAACTATAGAAAAATTTTCAGTTGTTTCTTTGCACACATTATTCAGTTGGAACATCCTGCAAAATTCAGACTAAATTGTTCTCAAATCCCCACCTTTTGACTGTTTCTAGAATGAACTGTTTTCAACAGCCTCCAGTTTAATTCCGGATTTCCAGTTTAATTCCGGACAACCTCCCATATCTCAGCAACCTTAAACCCAGATGGGCTAATATCGCAAACCATAGGTAAAAATGATGTAAGAAATATGTAGCAGCTATTTGCGACCCCCTGAGGGTTCGTCCAATTATGATTATGCATAATGCTTTGAGGGGTTATGCATAATTATGCACAATTATGCATGTTTATGCAAAATTATGCATAATTGGAGGAACCCCCAGGGGGTCACGAATAGCTGCTACATATTTCTTACATAATTTTTACCTATGGTTTGCGATATTAGCCCATCTGGGTTTAAGGTTGCTGAGATATGGGCGGTTGTCCGGAATTAAACTGGAGGCTGTTTTTCATGTTTTTAAACTTATACTTATGCTTGTTGTTTGCTATAATTGTAGATAGAAGATGCAGATGCTTGTTTGATCATTGCCAACAAGTACTGCAACAATCCTGATGCTGAGGATGCTGCCAACATCATGAGGTAAGGAAGACCTTTAAAATTTGTTGGTTCTCTGAATCTCAGAAAAAAGTATGAAAAGCAACAAGGTGAAATAAAAAAAACAGGCTAAGGCACCCCATAATAGCCCGAAATGTTTTTTGATAGAAGCAGCCGTGAATTAAGCTGCATAATTTGTGCCTTCAGGAATCTATACATTGGCCGTCGTACATTGGGCTTTTGTTTCTGCACAAAGTTTCCAAACATTTCAGTTTCCTAGCCTTCGTAGCAGGCTTATAGAACTGGGGGATTGGTGGTCTTTGGCTGTTTTCTGATTAGCCCAGTTCTAAAAACGGGGGTAATTTAACCAGGCCGGCTATGTTGTCTATATATGCAATCAGAATATAGCACATAAAAGTTCCCAAATACCATGAAGACCCCCCAAAACCACCAGTTTTTGGCATGCTATGGAGACTATCAGTTTCCCATGATATTGTTTCATATATTGTGTAAAAAGCCCCCTCCAGCAGATTATTGCTGAACAGCCAAACCACCAGCCACATGAATTGGATTCTATAAACTTAAGGTTTGTTTTATGTTGACCTTTCTGAAAATATCAAATTGATACATTGTGCGTGATGTTTCAAATGTTATAGTTTGACTGTATCTAGAATGCATGCTTTGTGTTCTTCCAGGGTGATTTCTATCAAGAACTACTGCTCTCATGTCAGGCTGATCATCCAGATGATGCAGTATCACAACAAGGTTGGTCCTTTTTGTTTCTAACATGCATTAAAAGTACTGCCGAACAGCTACTACACAAGAAAAAAGGCAAAAATGCTGAGTTAAAACTTTAAGAAAAACTTTAACCTGATCAATCCTCTCTCCCCTGGCTTGCTTGTTATGGAGCTTGAATTGTGCTGAATTGCACTATCTACATTGTACAATGTAGATAGCCTCCTGTGCAGTCCTCTGAGCGGGTGGGTGTTTTAATACTTAGGATTTTGTAAAATTGTTTTATCACGAGGCAGGTTTGTCCTATGATGGCCGGTTGATTGTACAATCATGGCTGGCAAAAGAATGTGTTAACAATTTTTTACAAAACCCAAAACACCCACCAACTTAGAGGCCTGCACAGGAGGCTAAGATAGCGCTGCTCCCTAGTCAGCATTTTATCAGCCTTTCAGAATGTTTTTCCTTTCTATAGGGTGCTGACAAAAGGTTACATGCCTGTAGCCGAGGGGGGGGGGGTTCGGAAGAGCCCCCCCACAAGGCTCAAAGGTCCACTTTTTGGTCCACTTTTTATCTAAAGGTCCAAGATTTTTCTTTAGATGGACTGATTCATATCACCAGCAGGGCTGGAATCATATAAAAACTGCCTACTTTGTCATTGAATAAAAAGTTATCTCTGATTTTTTTCTTTAAAAACGTCTAAAAAATCCAGGAAATGCCATTTCATTTTTCCAAATTTTCGGACCCCCCTAGGAACCTTGGGCCTTTGGCGCTCGCTTGCTGGTCCCTCAAGCAGTGGCAAGAAACCCCCCCCCCCATTCAAAATCCTGACATGGTGCTGACAAAAGGTTACTAAAATAAATGTGGGATTTGCAACTCACGTTCTTTGATATTCCATGCAGATCATGTAGACCTTGAACCATAGGACTCGATACTCCTCCGGGAAATCTAGTCTGAACTATTAACAAGCAGGCTTCCCACGTCGAGTATTTGCATCCGAAGAGCTTAACACCTCTAGCCGGGTCTAAAGGACAATCCATCCAATTTCATGGTGGTGTTGCTGTGCCCTGGGGGTTGTAAGGCGTGCAGGTTCACACCCTGGGTCAGTGTGTGGCGAGGATGATTGATGGCCGATCGTTTGGCCCGGACCGGTTTTACGACTCCTAGGGGAAGGGAATGCCAAGGCAGGCCTCGAAATTAACTTTTCTTCCTGTTGTCCCAGCACTGTCCCAAAAATAAGTTTCAGTTGTCCCCAAGTGAGGATGAACTGTCCCAACCTGTTTTTTTGGGAAGTATTGTATGACGTCAGCTTGAAGTCAACTTTACATTGCTTAATAATTATGTTCACTCCCAGGCACACTATAATTGCAGTGTAGACCAGTGCAGGTTAGGTGCAGATACGTAGAAGTCAGAAATACCTGGCGCAGCTCCAATTGTACCTGCACTAAATATAAAATAAAGGTGGATGATTATGCATCCAGTATTTCAAGCCCTGAATGCCCATGCCCTTGCTTGGCACACGGAGGTGTAAGATCACACACTCGCATTCATTACCTCGCCAAACTGCCGTGATTGGGTTGGAGCGTGGTGGAGCCGCTGCCATGGTCCAATGGAGCGGGACGTAGTCGAAAGTCTGCTCTTGATTTGATCTCTGCATTGGATAAGTTACGGTCTGTTTGAAGCGATTGTCAAGATGGCATACTTGACAGGGAGGCGCGGAGATAGGAGGAAACTGCTTACAGGGAGACTTTTCACAGATAAGGCCGTACCAATTTAATTTGTTGGTTCTTGGATTTGCCTCTTCTTTTTTTTCTGATTTGCAAAAAAAAAATATTCTGGTTCTGAATCAACTAAAAATGCTCATATTCTGCCCCCATATTGTTGAGGAAAGTCCTTTTCTTCCTAGTTGTTACAGTTTTTCCATCTATCAATGCAGTGGTTTGATTCAAAGTTTAATATTCATTGTTTAAATATTAGCCCAGCCTTTTGTATGTGTTGACTTCATGGCTACTATTGTAGCATTTGGGGCTATAATAGGGCGCCTGGACCTGTTTTTATTTTTTGCCCTGTCGCTTAATATTTTTTCTGAAAAAATCTGAGCAGAACCAACAAATTAAATTGGTGTGGCCTAAGTGCTGAATGCGATGGATTTTTGCACCTTGAAGAAAGCAAGCAGCAAATACTGCTATGTGACCAGCTTACATTTGTAGTCCCACAGTCAAAAATAAACTGCACTAAGGGTGTATGGCAACGTTGCATTACTATTATGTATATTGTTAATTGAAGAAAAGACACTTTCAGTCTGATGTAAGTCCATATTCACTGTCCTTGGTGCTGAACATATTGAGGTTATGACATAAAAGACTAAGTACCATCATAATGTCAGTATATACATTGTAGTAGAGGGGATTCATTCCTCAAGCTAACCGACATCTTGCACGCGCAGTCGTCCCTCAGTAAGACATCTGGAGCTGCATAGTTCCCGTTTAGAACTTTTATTCAGCCTGTCACATACTATCATAATGTCAGACACAAATGAACACACACACACGCACGCGCGCACACACTCACACACAAACACACACACACTCTCTCTCTCTCTCACACACACACACTCTGTCTCTCTCTCTCACACACACTTGAGCTTGAACTATGGTCCTTTGGGTTACAAAGAAGGATTGCTCACCAGTGAGTCACCACTGGTAACAAATGCTTCTTTTAGGCAGAAACAAATTAAGAATCTCTTGTGTCTGCAAAGCTCCAGGGAAGCGCATCCCTCGGATGGCTGTAACGTCTTCCTGGGAGCGTTTGTGAAGAATGAGCATCTTAGGATGGTTTTGGACCTGTCTTTGTAATATAGGCCGGCTTTCCAAAGCTAATGTATTTTCCATTAGCTCATTTGATAAAGTAGGCCGTGTCAAGGCCTTAAAGTCTTTTACTTTTATTACTGCAAATATGTATGCAGGGCAAATAACTGCAACATCTATCTAATTGCATTTTATGGGGTGGAAGATGCCATTAAGTGCATTTGTGTAATTGACTTTTATTGTGTTGAAATATTCCCGAGGGAATGAATTACAATTTACGAGGTACATTAAAAGCTTGACGTGATTAGTGTTACCTTCATTGCAATGTCTTATTCTAACACATTACAAACTGTTTATATCTTGTTGTTGGCATCCTTACGTCTCGGAAACTGTTAAAAGCAGCAATATAAAAGCAGCAATAAACATATAAATGAACACTTTCAGCACCTTGGACAAGTTAAGGTTGTCATGTTTTTTAAAGATTTTCTGAAATTAATTCACTACCGATTGACTACTGAGAAAGGGAAAGATGAGGTTTTAGCCAAGCTTGCAGCTGAGGCCACACCAATTTAATTTGTCGTTTCTCAGATTTTTTCAGAAAAAATATGAAGCGACAGGAAAAAAAACAGGCCAAGGCACCCCATAATGGCCAGAAATGTTACGATATGAGCCATGAAGTCAACATCCCAGGCTGGTTTGTAATTAACATTAGCTTTTGAACTTTTAATGAAACAAAGTTGCATTGTTACATTGGAAAACTTTAACAACTAGGAAGAAAAGGGACTCTCTTCAACCGTTGGGGCCAAAATATGTCTTTCATTGAGCATTTTGCAGTTGATATTGAACCTAAAATCAGAAAAAATGGACAGAGCAAATCTGAGAAACAACAAATTAAATTGGTGTGGCCTAAGTCACAAACAGTACATATGTATATAAAAGCAGCAATAAGGAAATAAATGTTGCACTATGAAATAAAGTGATTGAAAAAAACAATCACACTTTCAGTACCTTGGACAAACCCAGGTTCTCACTTTTTTTTAAATTCTCTCCCATCAATTCACTGTGAGTTGCCTTGCTCAAGTAAAAAGAATGAGGTTTTCCCCAAGCTTTTAGGCAAGTCAGTGATGTATACAGGCGGCAGTCTTCGCCCACAGTAATTGCTACAGCCCAGTCATTACTCTACTGAAATGTACCTGCCCTTGCGAGTCAGTCTGGGGTGATGGGAGCCAAAAGCGAGACTGCGCTACATTACCACCGTGATGAAGTGGACATCGCTGACACGCCGCGTCCTTGGCAGTCTGGGAGAGGAACACGCCCCTAATCACATCAGGCTCCACCGTGTCTGCCAAGGACAGAGACTGCACCTGAATAAAATAACCTGCTTGACACCATTCTCGACCCTTCACTTAACCCTTGGCACACTGAAGTAGTTTGGCTACCGATTCTCTATTGGTTATGGAGTAAAATGGTATAATTTGGGACTTTTTGGCTGTTTCTGGAGCAAAATGTACTGTGGCAGTCTGTGTGAGCATATTTGGTGCATGGACATATTTGGTATGGAGAGAAAGCGCTATAGGCATTTGCAGGTGGTGGTTCTTCTTACTGATTGGCTGTTGAGATAATTGGATTATCTTCCATAGGACACCTGCACGAGCTGCTACATCTATGTATATTGACAAAAATAAGAACAATAGAAGTAGCAGGAAGAAGGTTAAATGAACTGTGGCCATGCTTGCAAATGTGCTTACTCAGGGCAATTCTGACTGGTTTCATTGCACAGCACAGGTGTTGCTGCAATAGATGCATTCCCAAGCACAAAATAGATGTATCTACAATGCAGTCCCAAATGTACAGGAGTGTGATATACATAATTGTTGTCAACTAAAGGAAAGAAAAGACCAAGCAAGTCAGATTCACCCTGAGGAAGGTGACCGACGGTCACCAAAACATAGACTGAATAAACCTATTGGTACCTGATGAAACAATTTGCGGTGTTGATGGAATATCTGTATCTGTATAGCCGGTATAACCGGCCTTCAGCGTAACACATCAGCTTCGCAGGGGCACGGCGTGGCGACAGCCGGCTACGTCACACCGAAAGACTTGTTACACCTAACCCTTGAACATCTAACTCTAGACATTGTTTAAAGCTATCGAATCATAATACATGTACCTTTTTCTGTTATCTCTTTGAATACTTCAAAGTCAAGTGTTTTCTATTGAATAAAAGATTTCACTGCATATGCTTTGTCTTCTATATTTCTTTGTTTCTTTTTTCTTATTAGGCCACACCAATTTAATTTCTTGGTTAACGGATTTTTCTAGAAAAATAATGGAGCGGGCGGGCGAAAAAAAAAATAAAAATAAAAACAGGCCTAGGCATCGTATTATGGCCCAAAATGGTACGATAGGAGCCATGAAGTCAACACACCAGGCTGGTTCAAAATTTAAACAATGAATTTTGAACCTTTAATGATACCATTGCATTGAAAGATGGAATAACTGTAACAACTAGGATGAAAAGGTCTGTTTTCAACTGTTCAGGGCAAAATATGAGCATTTTGCAGTTGATTCTGGATTTTTATTTTTATTTGCAAATCTGAAAAAAATGAAGCGGCGAATCCGTTAACCAAGAAATTAAATTGGTGTGGCCTTATTCATATAAGATACATGTAAACACCTACCCCGTAGTATTCACACCAAGGTGGTAGATACCCCCCTCCCCCCAAACTGTAGGTACCAACCACTCCCAGTCAACAACCATTTTTCCTTGGTCCCTTGAGTGGTTGTTGAATACAGGTTTGACTGTACCCCTACTGTACTTGGTGACAGCGAGTTCCCCTCTGCGATAGTTCTAGGAAAGAATGAGGTTTTTTTACTGATGTTTGATCTAGTATGTTGTTCCAGGCGTACCTGCTCAACATACCCAGTTGGAACTGGAAGGAAGGGGACGACGTCATCTGTCTGGCAGAGCTGAAACTGGGCTTCATAGCCCAGAGCTGCCTGGCACCTGGCTTCTCCACCGTGATGGCCAATCTCTTTGCCATGAGGTCCACAGTGCTGGTAGGTGGCAACTTCAGGGATATAGACAGTCACACATTCTGCACTGGCTACTGACAACACACTGTCCTGTCTCTGGAACCCATGAGGGACCAGCTATTTATGTTTACCAAAGGAAAACATATTGTTTTGCTATGTTTCTTCTTCTTCTTTTCCAAACACTGACCTCTTACCTGGCCAATGACCTGATTTGTTGATGTCTCTCACCATGGTAACTAGTGTTGGGCTACATAATGTTGCAATTTCATAGTAGGAGGGATTTATACCCCTGTCTGACCCTATACATGAATGTATGTGAGTAAGAATTAACAGAGCAGACCGCATGCGAAGGTAAACATTAAATATGCATTCGCTTTGTAAATGTTACCTTTCTAGTTTATTAATAATTTTAAGCCACTTAATAACCATATGATTAGTGTAACTTGTTACAGGTACAGTACTGGTAATCATAGGTATTTTGACCAGAACCTACTGGTGATCAATTTTTTTGCAGTACAGTCGGTACACAACTCTAGCTCCAAGGATTGTTGACTTAGAGTCTAAAGGTTCTGGGTTCAAATCCCAAACAAACCCCAATGTTGTGCCCATGGGAAAGGCATGTTTGCTAGCTATATACTGCATTCATCCTATTGATAAAACAACTGGAGTTTATCTGACAATAAATCTCCAGAACTATCTATTGCTAATAATCAATGAAGCAAAAAAATGTACCGGTACTTAAGTTTTGATTTGCAGTTTTTTTTCATATTATGTTTCTCGTCAGCTTTCAAATGTTGAAAAAAAAAAGTAAAAGGGTGACGATGTGTTCTTGCAGATGGAGGAAGATTCCTGGCAGAAGCACTACTTAGGAGGGGTGGCGGCTGAGATGTACACCGAGTACCTTTCCAGTGCTTTTACCGGGATGAGCTTCCCGCAAGTGTCCGAGTGAGTATATTTTACCTACAGTAGTATTAGTATTAGTGGATTTTGTGACATACATTATACATGTAGTAAGCAAGTCCTACACTGGCTGAATTGTATAATGAGTCAAGCTGAATGTTAAAATGTCATCTATAATGTAACAATTGCATTTGTGTGTGGAAAATGTAATATCAAATGGGAAAAATCAGGTATTTTTCAGGAGGAATTTTTCATTTGTCCTTCATAACTGTCATTGCCTAAATCGATAGACTGTTCATTCCTTTTTCATTCAAATGTCCCTGAAGTCTTTTGAAGCAGCTTCTCCTTTTTTAGGTAAAGGATGTCTTTTATTTTCCATTTATCAATGCAGTGCTTTGATTGTGAACCACCCTGGTATGTTTTTTTTGTGGGTCCAATCACAGGATGTTTGTTTGTCTGTTTGTTTGTTTGTTTGTTTTTTGCCTGTCTGCTTCATTGATTTCAAGAGCCAACAAATCAATTTGGCGTGGCTTTGTACCTTAACATGCCTCCCCAGTCTGCAAGCTCTCTCCAAAGTGACAATGGAAGCAATGGAATCAGCAAGTATCTCACCACTAAAATTTCTCTTTCCTCCTAATTCATTCTACTGTTCACAAACTCTCCACTTTACTGTTGTTTTTCAGAGTGTGTTTTGTAAAGTTGCAGTTGCTGTTGATCGCGGTTGAGTTCCAAGGCTCAGAAACCCAGGAGAAAGAGTAAGACCCTTACCGTTACCGTATGACGTGGTGTCTCGTTCACTTCTCTTGTCTTGTGAAATGTTTTGCAGAGTCTGTTTTGCTAAGTTGCGGTTGCTGTTGATTGCTATAGAGTTGAAAGATCACAACACCAAGGATAAACAGTGAGTAGCGAGTACATTTGGGTTGTGCCTGGTTAAGGAAACGTGGCCAAACATGTTACAAAGAGCAGATGTCACTATCATTTCTGTTATTTCAGTACAAACTTTCAAAAATACAGTAGGACATTGTGAAATCAAAGTTAACTGGTCAAAGAGTGTTTAGCATGAAACTATTAATAAGAGTTCCCATCAAAATAGCATGGAAAATTAAGTATCAAAATGTCTTCTTTGTGTACTTAGGAGAAAGATGGGCAACAAAGTAAAAATTAGTTCAAACTTCCTCTACCAACACAGTTGTTTCATGTGAGAAAATGTGGATTGTTCCAGTTGATGGTAGGAGATGAATTTCAGTTCAGAAAAGGACAAAAAAAGGAAATAATTTTTATTCACATTTTGCTTTGTCCAGTTTCTGAAATAACACTTTGAACATACATGTATCAACCAGTAAGCGGTGTTGCAATTATACGTGGGAGAAATTTATTGTGTGGCCAAATTAAATCACTTTTTGTTTTGTCCAGTTTCTGAAATATTCTTCAAAATAACATTGACATTTGTGTGAGAAATTTATCGTAAGATGTAAGAAAATTTTAGCAAATTTATTTTCTGGCCAAACTGCTTTACATCTGCTGTTTGTAAGATGTCTAGCTTGTTTCGTGCATGACCCATTCCGGATCTACGTGAGTCCGGCATCATCCTGTCACTGTGCATGGATTCTACGGCATGGCACTCCGCTGCTGCTGCTGCAAAACTGTCATGGCAACGCCATCCTGCAACCAGACATCATTTCAGCACTGTATGCTCAGGCTGTACTTCCTGCCATCCATCCATCCATCTATTCGTCCATCCATCTATCCTTCCATCCAACCATCCATCCATCCTTCCGTCCATCCATCCACCGATCCATCCACCCATCCATCCATCCATCTATCCACCCACCCACCTATCCATCCATCCTTCAATCCATCCATCCATCCACCCACCCATCCATCCGTCCATCCATCCATCCATCCATCCATCCATCCATCCATCCATCTATCCTTCCATCCATCCACCCATCCTTCCCTCCATCCATCCACCCTTCCATCCATCCATCCATCCATCCATCCATCCATCCATCCATCCATCCATCCATCCATCCATCCATCCTTACTTCCATCCATCCGTTCATCCATCCATTACTTTAGCCCACCTATCCATCCATTAACCACCCATCCTTCCATCCATCCATCCATCCTTCCATCCATCCATCCATCCTTCCTTCCTTCCATCCATCCATCCTTCCTTCCTTCCATCCATCTATCCATCCATCCATCCATCCATCCATCCACCCTTCCTTCCATCCATCCATCCATCCATCTAGGAACTCATTGTGTCTGCCACTTCTCCATATTGCACTGGAAGCTGGGAACATCTGACACCCTTGCATTTTGACGTCATTTCAGCGCTGTATTTCCCACGTTGTACATCTATCCATCCTTGGTGATTGTGTGTCGCTACGTGTATTTCTTGTCCATATTGTACTCATGTCAGAACTGCGTTTATTTGTCAATGCTTTACTTTTCACCTGCACACACACACACGCACACATGCACATATGTAAACCATCTGGAACAAAAATAAATGAAAAATGTAAGGGGTCTTTTGAAAACCAATGTTCTGTGACTATATACATGTATTACAGCAAGATCTTCTTGCAAACATCATCAATAAACCAGTCATATTGTACACTTATGAAAGAAATTTGGGAAAATGCCAAAGACTTTCTCTCTATAGACCTGTAAGAAGTCCCTGGTATTGTCTGTGTGACATACATGTGCTTCATTGTGTCCAATGTGTGCATCACTCAACTGTCTTGTCACTCTTCGCTCTTCCCTGTCGTCTGTAGATCAGGGGCTGGCCGGCTGCACAGGTAGTTACAGTTACCCACCAGCCTCACGTGTAGCTGTACACCAGGGCTGTCTCCAGATTAAAATTTTTGTCTATCCCTCTCATTGGTTTGAAAGGGGGGGGGGCATACGTATACCCGCAAAACTACAGGGCAAAACTAGACAGGTCCTCCTCCAGGAAATTTAGGAAATTCCAGCATAACCCTAAGTTTGAAATGCTAATTTGCGTTTCTAGAAGGAAATTTCCATAGTAAAATTCCTTTTTTACAGCTTACGAAAATGTATGACTTTTTCATGTCACGAAATTGGAATTTTTTGACAGACAAGGTGAGAATTTTGTCATTCTGAAAAAAGCAAATTTCTGTTCTGAGACTGGAGCTAGGGATTGGTCCTGGAGACAGCACTTTGTACATGTGCACAAACCTCCCTTTCTGTGATGCCCCTTCCTCTAAAACTCACAGCTTTTACCATCTCTCCACTTGCCATAAACAACACAACTCACGCACAGTTTCTGGTGTCTTGTCACATTCTGTTAAACGCTCGTATTCAAGCTACAGAAGTTACACATACATTGTACACCGCTTCTCAATTTCTTTGAAAAATGCCAATAAATGATAGGCGGTGTAACATTTTTTTCTGTACATACACATGTACATATACATGTAAGTCCACATAAATTACTGCACAACTTCATAGCACCCATTTTCACTTACAAAACACCCTGTCTTACTGTTAAAAAAGACAATCAGTGTAAGGTGTCCTAGCTCATCCCTATGCCTTTCTGCATGGCATGCTTTGTGCATGTACATTTGTACCCATTGTCACTGTTGATACAATTGTGTCAAGAAATAATGGGCCTGCCATCGTTCCAATTCCAGCAAGCCTCAAAGCATGAAATATTATAAATGTGACTCACTGATTAACATGTCTGAGTACTGTAAATCGTGAAAATTAAGTGGCAGTTTTATTTTTGCTGTGACCCCTCCTTTGCAAATTTATGACACCATGCATACAGTGTTTATGCCCTCCGGATCCTTCTTTGACTACTGTATAGTACAGAATTGTTTCAACTAGAAATCTAAAACACAGTGAAAACTGCCCTTGCCCTCTTAGGCTATGTTGATTTGATTAGATGGATGACATTCTCAGGGAACCCCAAAACTGATGCGAGCATGCGAGTAAAAAAAAGGTTGGCAAAAAAGAAGGTGCCTTCATTATAAAATCAAGTATGTGGTCATGAAGGTTGAACAAACACCGCAAGTATGGTAGCCGAATAATAGACTCTTCATTTTACATTTCTTCAAATTTTCTTCTTTTCCTTTGGAATACATGTAGTTTTGGCAATCTTTGACATTAGTATGTTTTTCCTTTTTTTTTTGCAAATCACTGCATACATTTGCTCATTTTGTAGAGCTGCTTTGTATAATTTACAATATGGTCAAAAACTTTTTCTTCGGAAACGGATGAAAATTCAAGAACATGACTGTGCTGATGTCCTCCATATAGTCGAATCAACATGGCCTTACTGAGAAATAAATTTGTACATGTAAAACCATTGGGAAAGTTTCATGATTTACAGTACCGAAGATTGACTTGCAATTGATGCCACTTGCATGCTGCTGATGTGAATGGCTATAAATAACCGTTGTTACAGTTTTATTGTGCTTCATATTGTGTGTTGAGATACTAAAATGTGTGGACTGCGAACTTACGATGACAGTTACGGTCAGGCTTGTCATGCAGTGTTGACCTCTGGCCCTTGTGGTTGGTTTGTTTCCTCCTGAACAGGATTTTGATCAACCCGAACAACTCCTATCACATAAAGGAAGGCACTCTGGGGTTCTTCATAGCGCAGTCGGCAAAGGAAGTGAGGAGGTGAGTGGGGTGTACCTTATGCTGGAATCACAAGCCAGGGCCCGGCCGGGCTGCTTGAATAAACGGAATAATTTAAAAGAAAAAGAAAATTTTAAGAATATGCCCAAATTGTGCTGAATATAATTAAGAATTGTATTTTAAACGTTTTTTTGTGTTTTACTGTACTTGTATCAGTCTTTTATTCCCCACAAACTGCCCAGCCAGGCCCCGGTTACATGGTACCAATAGTGTTGGAGGCTGTTATGACTGGTTTCCATAGTGACAGAGAATCCTGAGCTCCTATTGGACTGATTTTCACAGTGACAAAAGAATCCTGCACTCCTATTGGTAATTCAGGAAATGGGAATAGTTAAAGTTGTATGAACACAAGCAATTGAGGAGGAGGCCCAGTCAACCCCTTACAGCGAGAGATTGTTTAACACACTTTTTTAATCTTAGAAAGGCTTTCTAAAAGTTATGAGTTTAAAGATGCTCAAAATATTCTGCATAACTAAAGCTTCATGTTATTGAGAAGTGTGTTTAAAAACAGTATAAATACATGTACCACCCAAACCAATGCAAATTCGGTGAAAATGTAACTAACAAGAAAGCTAAAAGTGACGTTATAGGTGCTGATTTTCTGCGCTGCATTCTGTAGGGCATATTTCTACTGCAAGCAGTGTCACGGGGACATCAAGCAACCAGACAAAATCAAGAAGTGCAAGTGTATGCAAGGTGACAGCATAGCATGGCTTCCTACTCTTCTGCTCTCTCTACAAAGGCCAAACTAGAATTCGGCTGGATCAGTTCTCAAAAGTGGCAAAACTCCAAACGATGTGTCAAAATACAACCGAATTTTACACATACTGTCAAGACACACCATCTAAACTGCTGCTTTGGATCTAAAGAGCCCTTGATTTTCATTTTTTCCATAATTCACAACAATATCATAATAATTATTATGATTACTAATCTGACTTCCTGTCAGAGGATTTTCATCATGATTCGAATATGTCTGAACCAAAAACAAAATGTACAATTCAAAAAATTTTTGATAATAAAAACTTTTATTAACTGAGATAAATTTCAGACTTTCAGTCTTTATTGAAATTGAAAACTATATTTCTGCCAAAGGATTTTCATCATGATTCGGATATGTCTGATCCAAAAACAAAATGTACAACTTTTTTTTTATAATAAAATACTTTTATTAACTGAGATATTAATTATGATAAATTTCTGACTTTGACTTAAAGTTTATTTTAATTTAAATTCTAACCTATATTTATGAGCATCAACTGAAGATGATTCTTGAAACGAAACTATTTTTGAGAACCGATCCATCCGCTTGGCGATGTGTCACACTGACAATAATGCACGTGCACATTACCATCTCTGCACGCAGGGCTTATTTCTACTGCAAGGCATGCCACAATGATGTTAAGCAGCCCAGCAAAATCAAGAAATGCAAGTGTCGGGCAGGTATGCATGTCTGCGCATGGAGGCATACAGGGCATACAGTTCTATTATACTGCTTACTAGTGATGCATACCTATACCCAATTTTAGGTTCAGGTCCAGATTCAAGTCCAGAGGTTTAGGTTCAGTTCCGGACTTGTAAGTCCGGACCTAAACCCATGGCATATACAAAATTGCATGTTGGCAACCTTGCAATGTTGATGGGTGAAACTTTGGCCACATAACTTGGAGGCCGGTAATTGATGATGCCCGATGGCAATGTTTTCTTCAAGATTTTGCAATCTACTGAGGGTTTTAGGTGGTTTGGAAAGAAAAGGGGTATGTGAAATGGTCTTTTATGGTAATAAGTCCGGACTCGGTTCTTGACTTTTAGGTTTTTTGGGACTTGAACCTAAACATTCTTACAAGGCTGGATGCAAGTCCAGTGAACCGGTATGCATCACTACTGCTTACTATTCCTCTGTTGTTCAATGTATGACCATGCAGGAAGTATTGTACCTGTCCAGCAAACTCCTGTGTTGTCTAGTTTACCTGTGTGGCATTGTTTAATTGTACATGTATATCTATGTTGTAATGGTAATGTCACAGTGACTGTGTTTCCAGTTCTAATTGTTTGTGCACTTCAACCATTTTCATCATCATCATGAGTGTTGTTTTAGGGCCACATTAATTTAATTTCTTGGTCCTTGAATGTGCCTGCTTCATTTTTTCTGATTTGCAAAAAAAATGTGTACATGTACCATGCTTTGGTTTTGAATCAACCTCAAAAATACTCATATTTTGACGCCAAGAGTATAAGAAAATACAGTTTTTTTCCATTTATCAGTGCAGTAATTTGATTAAAACTTCAAAATTCATTGTTTGGATTATAAACCATCCCAGTACATACTACCGGTAATGGCTTTGTGGCTTCTATGGTGGAGGCTATCACAGTTTTGCCCACCTGCTTCGTTAATTTAATTAAAAAAACTAAGGACCAAGAAATTAAATTGGTGTGGCCTAATCTGTACAGTGCTGACTTCCTGTCTTCATGATTGTCATTTCCATGTGCAAGTTGCTCATCCCATCTCTTACCATTCTTTCATTGCCTTAAAAGCATTTCAAGTCTTTGACTCAAATACTAGTAAAATTGTGCTGTTACTTTGTGCAGTCCCGTGATAGATCAAATCTAGATTTCAACTGTTTTTATTTGGTCTGTGATCTTTTGTCCGTACCAAGTTGTCCGTACTGTCTTGTCCCATGTGAATAGAACACCAGCCAACATGTCTACCATTAACTTCTAGCTCTAGAGTCATTTTAGTTGAAGTAGATGCCGTTCATCAATTGTCTTAATCCCTTGAAATTTGGTCTGTGCTGTTCTGTCCGTGTCTGTTGTCATGTCCCGTCCCATGTGAGTAGAGAAGTGAACACCATCAAACATACTGCCATATCTTCTACAGTCATTTTACTTCCATTCAATGCTGTTGATCAAATTTCTGTCCTCGTCTGTGAATAGTTTAGTGAATAGGTTGGTAAGACACTGAGTATAGAGACTCTTTTTACACAACCAAGTCTTTTATTCAGTCGACATTTCGGTGACCGTCTGTCACCTTCCTCAGAACCAGTCAGAATTGCCCTGAGGAAGGTGACAGACGGTCACTGAAACGTCGGCTGAATAAAAGACTTGGTTGTGTGAAAAAGAGTCTCTTTACTCAAATTTCTGTCCCTTGTAATCTCCCTCTTTTTGCGTCTACCATTTCATCTTTAAACTCCATCCCTTGCAGTACTGTGGGAGTTATGGTACTGTGTGTAGAGTTATTGGTGTTCAAAACAAATTGTGTGTTGGAAAGTGTTTTAAAACTGTGTTCATTTTTGTTTTGCGGTAGTCCAGGCTTTTGCATTTACTCCCTGTGTACGTAGCTCAGTTTGCTGGCAAACAGATGACCACTGGAAAATGGTTGATATTTTGAAAAGGGAAATCTCTACAATGTAGATAGAATGTGACAATCCGAATGTTTGCCCCTTTTATATTGTTCCAGCATTGGAAGCACAGGCCAACAACAAAGTCAATGTAGCAGCCTTAGGTATTCCACCTTCTTATCCTTCCATGTTAGGGTGGTGCTGGGAACTTTTTTAACATAATCCACACATCTGCTTTCACTCGAGTGTTCACTCCTGGAGACTTGAGTTTCCGTTAAATTAGTTCACTCACTGCAACGTCTAACCTGCTTTTTAAATTAGGGTTTAAAAGAGCACTGTGGCCATATTCCAACTACAGTTGGCGAAATTATATGCTGTAATATAGATATAAATCTAACATCACTTCTTTTGATGAAGAAATAGAAATAGGTTTTAGAAAATAAGAATTATGTTTTTTTAATGGTATTTGACACCACTGGTGTTTAGCAAACTGACTCACTGTAGGTATATAGACTTCTAGAAATACCCGTTTTTTTAAATGTAGAAATTCACTTTTTTGGTAATAACTGGTAATTTAAACCTAATAGAAGGGAATTGTTTCCTAACATAATTCTTAGTTTCAATTCTTAATTTGATTAATTGGAAATTTCTAGCTCCTTAGACGTTACCCATCAGAGATATTCATTTGAATCGTTTCAAGATTTTCATCACATTTCAGTAGTTTTTTTTGTGAAAAACACATGTCAGTGATGTTTGTCTGTTAACTTTCAACTTTCTCATCACTTAAGGAAATCTCAAGCAAAAGGGTAGGAATTGTTTTCTACTCTCAGATTTTATATAACACAACTTCTAATATGTAGCTTTAGAACCAAATCTAGCTTTAGACTACAGTACAGGTATGCAATCCCTTAACCTGTGGCCGGATGTGAACATTTTTAATAACTGCAAAAGTACGAAAATTGCACAAAAATTGCACATACCTAATGCTAATCTTAATAATACATTATTGAATTAGGCTGGGGACTGTCATACATGTTTTAGAATCAACCTAGATTTTTTTTTGTTTTAAATAACCTGCAACCAACTGCACCAATTTCTTCAAGTTTAAATCACAAGTTTTTCTAGAACTTAAACTGGTAGGGGTTTTTACACAATATAAATTTTACACTGCTTTCTACAGCACCAAGAAGGTTACTCTGCATGATTTCACATCTTTGAAGCTCCTTTCCCCTGCCAACTTTTTCTATTTCACTATGGCCCTCTCTCCATCTAGTCCTTAGCTCTGAATTAGACTTGTGTTTGCCGACAGGAATATTAACAAGCTAGTTTGATTTTCGACAGAAGGACCCACCCAAGTTGTAGCGCCCACCAAGAAAAAGCGGAATGGCAATTCCAACGAGTTAGACTCTCCGAAGCGGAATATCCGTAACTTCCACGGAATGACGTCCAGGTAAGCATTAGTCATTGGAGTATCAAATTCATGTACAATCATTATGCCTTTATTTGTATCTCTGCTCTTGAGGATCATGTTCATGAATATTAATGAGCTTGCCTTATTTGGCACAAGCCAATCAGATTTATGAATACATTGAGGTAATTCTCTGATTGGCTGTTTGTGGCCACACCCCAAGAATATGTAGGCTGGACTCCAATTTATTAGCAGAATTGAATGAAGGCATATGATGACTCTTCGGATGATGATAACCATTATCTAGTTTGTTATTAAGCTAAGAAACATATCTCACATTCATATTCTTACACTCTACTAACACTATATCATTCTCCTGAGTAGACTCTTTCAAGACTGACTCTGATGAACCATTGTGAAAGGAACATTGTATTAATTTCAAGCAGTCACCACTTGCACACTAGTACATAGTTTTACATGTGATGGAATTGGCTAGGCTTATGTAAAGGCATTTGCTTCAAACAACTTGTTTGTTACTCAAATATCTCACTTCAACATACAACTATGGCATTTGATAATCTGTTAATGTAGATGTTTTTTCTTGAGAAATCACTGAACCTTACAAAGACCAAGAACAGTCATGTACATTTAGTATTGAAGTAGTACAAGTGTATTAAAGCATAGCTTGATTGTGCTTAGTGTTGTAATTGATTCCATACATGTACATGCAATTATGTACCAACAATGTGCTAACATTATGTGCCTTGGGTTAACGTTGCAGTGTTTGGGGTGGTGTCTGTTTTGTTTCTGTTTTCTACCAGTCCACTTTGAGTAATTTTCTGTTGTGTAATATGACTACAATGTGTGTCTGATTTGTCTACGGTTTTTAATTTTGTTCGCTACGCTTAATTTGCTTTCCTGTTGTGACACATGCACATCCACCTTGAAGAAACTTCCGGTTACAATAACTATTTCTAGTATTTGCTGAAAATGTACATTAGATACGATAAAACACAATGCTGAGCTTGTTGCATTGCTAAAGACAGGTACAAATTTCACCATCTAGAGAAGCATTTTTAGTCAAAAATTATGTCATACATATGTAGACTTTAAAGAGCCTCAAAAATTTTGACAAGAAATGTAAAGCTGAAAAATCTGGTGCACTCTCTCCTTTTTAAAATGTCACCATTTTCAATCTTCAAACCCATTCACCAAATTTTTGTTAAAAAGAATTGTCCGTGTTACCCTCTAAAATAATCCCACGAAACACAATTTCACAGAATAATGTGTGTATTCAATTTTTTGTCGTTTGTTGAAAAAGTTCTCTTCTCTTGCATGGTATCTAAAAGTCCCCCCTTATTTTTCTGCCTTGTTTTTATTTGGTTCTCTTTTTTTTGTTTCTTTTATTTGTTTTCTCAGAGGGAAGAAGGGGCGAGACTTTCCGATGCCTTTACAAATTTCCCCAAGCAGACTCCCTGACAGTAGTCTTCCACCCGTCAACAGCCCCAGTCTGCCCAACAACGACGAGGCACGAGACCTGGACTGTGATACCAAGAAGTACGACTCCACGGGGATGTTCCATTGGTGCCCCTCCCGCGATCTGGAGAAAGCCATTCTGGTGGGAGGGAATGGCTGTGTGTGTGCAGAAAGTGATGTCAAATCTGTGTGTGTGTGTGTGTGTGTGTGCATGCATGTGTGTGTGCATGTGTGTGCACATGCGTGTGTGTGTGCTTGTGTGCGTACGAGTGTGCGTGTGTGTGTGTGCATGTGCGTGCAAATGCGTGTGTGCATACGAGTGTGCGTGTGTGTGTGTGTGCATGTGCGTGCAAATGCGTGTGTGCATGCGTGTGTGTGTGCGTGCATGCGTACGAGTGTGCGTGCGTGCGTGGGTGTGTGTCTGACATTACATTTAGTATTTTGTTATAACCTCAATACGTTCAGCACCAAGGACAGTGCGAATGGACTCACATCAGACTGAATTTGTTGAGCAATATGCCGCTTGATTTATCCTTCCCAACGTTTCCTTTATTTTTAATGTACATTGTATTTCTAATGTCTCCATACAGGTAAGTCTTGTTCTGAACGGTAATCCATAACCATATGGCCCTCAAACAAAGACAAAATCTCACACTAACATAGTTTTATAAAGTATAACTTTTCAGAAACCATACTTAACCAGTTGCATTAACAACCTCTGTAGAAAAACCAATGTAACAGTAAAAAGGTTGTAACACTAACTGTCTAAGTTTGAGGGACGGTAACTAACTGAGGACCACCACATCTGGTCAAGGTTCAATCGCGAGGAGTGTGTCCTAATGGCTGTCCTTCGTTATGCCGCCTCGTTATTATATTATCCAGAGCCGTAACGAGGCAGCCATGAGTGTGCTGAGTGGCCACGTGGTCGTGTGCATATTCAGCACGGCAGACTCCCCTCTGATTGGCCTGCGTAACCTGGTCATGCCGCTGCGCGCAAGCAACTTCTCGTACCATGAGCTGAAGACGATTGTTCTCCTGGGCGACCTGGACTACATCAAGAGGGAGTGGGACATGCTGTGCAATTTCCCTAAAGTTGCTGTGTTGCCAGTAAGTCTCTGCATCCATTGCACCCTATGTTTGTACTTTGTAGCGCATGTACAGGGATCTAGCATTTGTCTAAGGGTCTATCTGAAAGTAGCCACAATAGGTGTAATTTCCCTAAAGTTGCTGTGTTGCCAATAAGTCTGTACATCCAATACAGACCATTGCACCCTATGTTTGTGTAGCACATGTACAGGGATCTAGCATTTGTCTAAGGGTCTATCTGAAAGTAGCCACAATAGACAGGTGTTCCTTATCTAGAGGTGACCTGTACTTACATGTACAAAATGTACCTTGTTAGAGCATAATAATGTACAACAAAGATCATTCATTCATTCATGCATTCATTAAGACGTCAGTATTCTTCATGGGTCTAATTGTGAAAGTGTTTCTTCCTTCAGGAGTCATTGAAAATTACCATGTATTTCTTGTACTTGCCTTTTTGATAAACTACACTGAACTAAATGTGTCAGGCTGTGAAAGGCCCCCCCCCAGTAGTCAGTCATTGAAAATCACCATGTATTTCCTGGTATCTCTTACGATAAATAAAGTAACGTTAAATGTGTCCAGTTGTGAAAGTGTTTCTTCCCCTTTACACGCCCCTCCCCCTCAGGGATCACCAATGTGTCGGGCAGACCTGCGAGCAGTGAACGTGAACCTGTGCGACATGTGTGTGATCCTGTCCCCCAACAACCAGAGTCAGGAGCAGGACCCCTGTCTGCAGGACAAGGAGGCCATCCTCTGCTCCCTCAACATCAAGTCCATGCAGTTTGACGACAGTATCGGCCTCTTACAGGCCAATTCGCAAGGTGGGCATTCTTGGATCTTGCCAGGCACGCCTATTGGGGGAGGCACGGGTAGAGCCGGTGAGTGGACGCTGCTTTACGGCGTTTCCGTGTTGCCACGTCTGTGCCGTGTGTCCGTCCGTGTTGTCTGTGTTGTCAGTATATCATCCACTCATCGTGGTTGGTGAGATAGCTCGTGTAGGTTGTCGTTGTCACCATAATTGTTGTTGTTGTTACTAGACTACATCATTCACTCGTCGTGGTTGGTGGGATAGCACGTGTAGGTTGTTGTCATTGTTGTCACCATAATAATTGTTGTTGTTGTTATATCATCCGCTCATCGTGGTTGGTGGGATAGCACGTGTAGGTTGTTGTCATTGTTGTCACCATAATGATTGTTGTTGTTACATCATCCACTCATCGTGGTTGGTGGGATAGCACATGTAGGTTGTCGTCATTGTTGTTACCATTGGTGTTGTTATATCATCCAGTCATCGTGGTTGGTGGAATGGCACATGTAGGTTGTTTTTATTGTTGTCACCATGATTGTTGTTGGTGTTGTTGTAGTTACATCATCCACTCATCGTGGTTGGTGCGATAGCATGTGTGGGTTGTCATCATCATTGTTACTATAATTGTTGTCACCATTGTTGTTAGTCCAGTTGTAGTGAAGAACCTAGATGTAGGATCAGTTTTATCCCCTACACATTCTGGCTTTGGAACAGTCTACCCAGACACATTACCGACTCTCCCACACTCCGTCAATTAAAGGCTCACTGCAGAAAAAAACAGTTACGACTGCCTTGATAACCTGTGTCTTGAGCTGTACGTTGTCATTGCCAATAAAGAAAAAAAGAAAGAAAGAAGTATATCATTTTTTAAGCCTCATGGCGAGATGTCATCATATATTGGATTGATCAGCAATCTCAGTTTGTCTTTTTTGGAAGAAGATGCAATATTATTGTGTCAGTTGGTTTTTGTTATTGTTGTCATCATTGTAAGTTTGTCATTTTTGTGAAGAGGTAGATTCCTTTTTAGCTTCATGGAAAATTATTCTGAATCAGTGATCTCAGTTTGCAAAAAGTTTCTTCAGTTTCCTATAATATCCCCTTGTAGTAAGATGTGTTTTGTGCCATGCTGTATCAATGGCTGCTAAAATGATATCTGAATGATGGTATAATTAAACACTGTGACTTGCTGCCCTGTTACCAGGGTCTTGGAACAAAACTGAGCCTTGATAGTGTGGAAAAAAAAGGAGCAAGCTTTGAAAAATATAGGACTTTCCATGAATGTGTAGTTTGGTGTACTGGCTAGCTATAGGTGATCATCGTGTTCATGATTCAGTGTTCTGTGTAGTCTGTAACTAACACTAAGTGTGTGTAATATAATATTCTGACTGTGATTCTATCCCACAGGGAACACAGGTAACATTTAGATCTTGTCTTCATCTTTCATCTGTCAAGCCCTTCATTCCATTTCACATTCTAACTAAATGCAAGGAAGCAAATCTTTTCCCTAACTTGGGCTTAGTTACTTTCTATGTTTAATTTTGCAAAAGTTAATCTGAAGCCAATTTTCTTTCAACTGCAGACCAAATCTGAATATCATTCATGCTTTTGTTTGTTCTTTTCTCCATCTAGTTCTCGACATCACACACCCAGTAGTTATGTCAAAAAGCATTGACTGCAAAACTGAAATTTTAACAACTATTAGTAATTGAATCTCTGTAATGTCAGATCATTAAACAAAAATCATATTGCCAGTACTAAGACTATTTAGTTTTTGTAATATTAAGTGCTGTTATCCATTATGTTTTTAATTGAACCATGCTGTCCATTGGTCCTCTACTCTGCTCATCTCCCATGTTGCTGGTATGTACCATTTCACCTAGCCTCCTGCGCAGACTTTCTACCAGGCACAGTTAGTTTCTATAAGTGCCGGGAGAGCTGTTTATGGGATATGTATGAATGAACTTTATCAATCTACAAGCATACATGGTACAATGTATGACAGTAAGACAACAATAATACACAATAATACAATAATTATTACTTACACACTGTACTACAAACTATCATCGATATAAATATGTGAGTTCCAATATAGTCATGTATGGATGATTTGGTCCCGCTTTTGATACAGAAATCGACCTATGTACTAGGCAGATATGGAAGTTGGACATGACAACAATATATGGAAAGTATTGTAAATGGTGGAGGGTTGTATTGGGGGGATCAGTATTGATACAGCCGTACTTCCACATACAGATCTCATCACACAAAACAACTGCCAGACTCATAGAAACATTAACGCTGCCTGCTAGAAAGTCTGCGCAAGAGGCTACATTTCATTTGACACCTTACATGTATGTCACCAACACAAGACTGACATTGAAGCTCTTTCTCCTGAGCAAGAGCATGAGGTGTACATTGTATTGTAGTTTCAGAAGGTGAAAAGTTGTCTTCTTTTTTGTCCACAGCCATCAAACAAATTGAATCTATTGTCAGAGCAAGCAATCATTTTCAGCAATATCACATTATTTTATGCCTCACATATTATCAAGTATGCTACAGGGATAGGGTACCACTAAAAAAAATGGCAAGAAAAATTAATTAGATCCAGGTTTCCCACTGAAATTGATTTAATTTTTGTTTTGTTGCTGTTGTTGTAGGTTTCCTTCCTCCAGGGTTCAACAACGCATTTTCCCCAGCCTCCAGTCCAGACAACAACGTCTCCAGGAGAGGCTCCACCATGGGCAGCAATGTGCCCATGATCACTGAACTGGGTACGCATTTTCTTACTTACAAAAAAAAATGTACACCTCAGAACAGATCAGTTCAGTTCATCCTAAATGTACTGTGATTCCTGATTTTACCGTGTCACTTTTATGTTTACGGTTTTCACAGTCACCTCAGAGTCTGTACCGAGAACCTATCATTTTCTGTGCCGCAAACTTATCATTACCATTAACAAATAATTCCTCTCCCCATTACTGTGAACATATAGTTCCGTAAACAGTAGTAACAGTAGGTGACACCAGTTTCTCAACAAATTTTTGTCAAGCACAACAGACTAAAGCTGATAAAACATCCTAAAAGACCATGGTCAGCATCCTCCTTTCTTACCTCAAACTTCTTAAGGGCTAAAGAAGGACAGCCTTGGCAAATGGCTTAAAGGCTGAAAGTTATCATTAACCATACATTCCAGTGTGGTAAGAGGTACACAGATTATCATCATTCGGATACCATCAGAAATCTAACTGAATGATGATGTCCTGTTTGCAGTGAATGATGGGAATGTGCAGTTCTTAGATCAGGATGATGATGACGATCCCGACACCGAACTCTACCTCACACAACCGTTCGCCTGCGGGACCGCCTTCACCATTAGTGTCCTGGATTCACTCATGAGTGCGGTAAGTCACGGCGGGAGAAATACTGTCATTTTTTTTACGGTACTTTGATGTTGAAATTCACAGTTTTCACTGCAAATATACAGTTGTAGAGTAACACTGAATAGGTTATGCCAAAGATAGAGCAGTTACTCATTACAAAGCAACTGGATATGATTTTGGAAACGGTCGGACGTTTCAGCTAGTATCCACTAGCTTTTGTCCAGTGACTGACGAACGCCAGGGGATACTAGCTGAAATGAAAGAAAGAAGGGCGTACATGTATATTAGCAACAATATATGACTGTGTTTTGTTCTCCAGACGTACTTCAATGATAACGCCCTGACGCTGATCCGAACACTGATCACCGGCGGGGCGACCCACGAGCTGGAGCAGATCCTAGCGGAGGGTTCTGGGATGCGGGGCGGCTACAGCACGCCTGAGACCCTGCGTAACAGGGACAGGTGTAAAGTGGCACAGATCCCCATGATGGACGGACCCTTCCAAGCATTCGGGGTGAGATTTTCTCTTTTTTTTTCTAATTGTAAGCTTCATGCACCACAAACAATGCTCCAGAAGCATGGGCTTAGACCCTGTTGATTTGATTATATAGATGACATCCTCTGGGAACCCCAAAACTGATGCGAGCAATAAAAAAAAAAGTTTGGCCCCCCAAAAAGTTCCTTTCATTATGAAATCTATGTGGTTTTGAAGGTTGAACAAATGACACAGTGTGGTTTGGAAGCATACTACCTACATGTAGTTTGCAAACTTAGAAGGTTATGTTTGCTTGCCATTAGTGTGTGTGTGTGTGTGTGTGTGTGTGTGTGTTTGTGGACAGTACATTAATGAAGTAGTGAATGGATCTGTATAATATTCTATGTGGATATATAGATGGTGGTAAAACAGTTTTATTACATGACATGTATAGTGTAAATGCTAATTTCTCAGGATCATCTATTTTTACTATTAAGAAGCATTCAATTTAATGATGTATCTGTTTATCTTTCCATAATTGCATTTAAAGAGGTTTTGACTTCCCCCTTTCTCTTTCTTTCTTTCTTGGAATTGTTTGCACAGACCATCGGAAAGGTGCCTCCTTACATTCTTCTTAGCCCTTAGACAATAAGCATAGACATGCTTGTAAAGATGCCTAACTCTCTGTGGCAGGACTGTCTAAGAGTGATCCCAACTAAGGCCAAACCAATTTAATTTCTTGGTTAACGGATTTTTCTAGAAAAATAATGGAGCAGGCAGGCGAAAATAAAATTAAGCAAAAACAGGCCTAGGCATCCTATTTTGGCCCAAAACGGTAGGATATGAACCATGACGTCAACACACCAATGATACCCATGCATAGAAATATGGAATGACTGTAACAAGTAGTAAGAAAAGGACTGTTTTCAACTGATCAGGGCAAAATATGTCTTTTGCAATTGATTTTTTATTTTTATTTGCAAATCAGAAAAAAATGAAGCGGCGAATCCGTTAACCAAGAAATCAAATTGGTGTGGCCTAATAAAGTTTGATATACTTTGATAATATAACTTTGATAATAACCTGTCAACAGTTAGTACTGTAGTATTGTAAACATGTGCTTGTGGTGAAAAGTTCTAAAAAAAGTAAAATTCCAGTTAGTTTGGAATACAGTAGATCGAAATGAATATAATCTTGTTTACTTTTAGCATTGATATTTCCAGTACTAATGCTAGAATTTGCATTAAGTTCTTGTAATGGAAGAAAGTCTCATATAATGAAAAAAACGTGTTGTTTTTATATATTAATTCCTTTTCTTCTGTCAAGTATACAGAGTATTGTATACCAGTGCTTTGCTTTATTTTGTTTGAAGTTAGCCTTTGGGCATGGTTTTGCAATAAAGGTTTTTCATAAAGGTAGGAAGTCAGTTGAGGATGTAAAAGTTCTGAACACTCATGTCTGTCTTGCATTTTCCAGAATGGCGGTTGCTATGGCGACTTGTTTGTCAGCGCCCTGAAAAGCTACAACCTCCTCGCCTTCGGGATCTACCGTTTCCGGGACGCGGAGTGCAACACCAAAAACCCGTCCTCCAAGAGATACGTCATCACGAACCCGCCGTACGAGTTCAAACTCTGCACCACGGACATGATCTTCTGCCTGCAGCAGTTCGACCGCAACCCCATGGACATGCGCTCCAACAGCTTCAGCCAATCACAGAGCCACCTGATGCGGGGGAAGCAGAAGAACCGTCCGACCAAGAAAAAGTACGACGGAGATTTTGATGTCTGACCCTTCCAGGCCGATGCTCCTCTCTAATAACCAGGCCTGCATGAGCCGCGACCCTGTCTCTGCTGTCCTAACTACTGCGTATACCGATTTCTGTTTCCCTACCAGACTACGCCTAATTCTGTTCCTTCAACCTTGTGCGTGCATCTTACCTTGTCAACTCCTGCAAAGAGGACTAATCGTGATGAGGAAAGAAGGATTTTGTTCCCGCAGAGTTACGAGATTGCGTGAACTGTACACCTCACCTCACCCACTACTGACTACCCCACTTCGTTAACATGTCATCCCAACATCACCATCAAGTGCAATTTGTCCTCCTTTCTCTCATGACCCACCATCACCAAAGATATGCTTGATTAGCATTAACTATCATCGCTGTCATTTAACGCTTGCCAAATTCTGTAAACTTGTAACCACAATGATCATAGATTCTCACCAGAATTTTCTCCCTTTTTCTCCATCTTGCCACTCGAAGGCAAAACGTGCAAATAGCACACAACAAAGTATAGTAAGCACCTCTACTTTCCTTCACCAGAGTGATGTTTTGCGTTCTTTTTTTGTTCTTCATTATTGCTTACAGGATGAGTTCAAAGCATATTCGACTAGAAGGTAACATTCTTTTGACAAAATGGCATGTTTTTGTAGTCTATATCACTCAGCCGTAGCTTCGGCAACTTCCAAAAGAAAACTGTACAAGTATGTTTCAAGCATTATCGAGTCATATTTACTTAGTCATACTATAACTTTTCCATGCAAGTTATTATTGATTGTGAATTCAGCTTTATATTTTTCTACCATCATAATCTTCAGAGGTCTTTTCTACCATCATACCATCTTCAGAGGTCTTCTTGAATTTGTTGCAACATTTCACTACATAGTTGTGTATCAGATCCTCAATGACATATAACCTCCATGACATTTATTTGGTTTTTCCTCACTTCCTTTCATCTCTGTTCAGAAAAGTCCACCCTGAGAGTCACCTTACCTAGGTCACCACAGGAAGACAAAGACTTCACCACCGAGAAACACGTCTTGAGAGAATTTGACGTCTGATGCAGCTAATCCAATGTTCTCTGCAACATTTTTGTCAACACGAACTTTAAGATTCATCAATAAGTACTAATTATTGTCCCATCAGTTGCTAAGTGGTGATTGGGTATGATATTTATAGGTATTTATTGGTACTGAAGTCAAGTTATTAATAATTAATAACACTTTCCTGTGGAACTTCTCCATGAGTGATTCTGTTGGAAAAAATGAGAGCAGTCCTATTTTGTGCAATTTTGTCAAATTGTAGGGTTTCAATGGACACGTCATGCATTTATATATAAATATGAATATATATATACATACAGCTGTAAGATATTTTTGAGCCACATGTATGTTACGTGTATATGGACGTCATTGTTTTATATGTACGTGTGTGTTTTTTTTGTGGTGTATTTGCTTCAGTAGGGACAGATAGCAGAGTGAGTTAGGGCAGGCCGAGTTCAAGAATACAGAATGTATGCAGGAAAAATCTACACAAGTGGTGCAATGTGAAAACTATAAAAGATATAGAAACTGCAAAGTGCTTATAACGTACAGTATGGCATGATATACTATAATGACAAAGAAGAAAGGGTTTAACAGTAAAAAGATATTGAATGGAGGGCAGGAAAGAGTGATAGAGCCATGATATGGTTCATGTAAATAGGTTTATCTAAAAGTGTCTACGTGTGTTTGTCCGTTGCGATCCAAGAGCTTGTTGTCATGTGCGCGTACGTGTGTTCAGATGCTGTACAACTAACTCTGTCACACCCCCGAATCCGAGTGCGCAAGTCCGTCTACAGAAAGTCATTGTCTGCGTGCCGAACAAGTGTTTTTCTTGTATCACGTGTGCGGATGCAGAAAAGGAATTTCTCGCATCGCTACAGCCCAGTTAGGAGTTCCTGACTCTGTTCCATGTTGCCACCTTCAGATAGACCTTCACTATCCATCTGTCCATCCATCTATCCATCCATCCATCCACCATCGCTGTACGCACAGCACCATCATGTTCATCTAGCACTAAAGAACACCTTTGAATATATATAAATGATACGAGAAGCCTGAAACTTGATGTGTCTTGTCCGTACGTTGTCGTGGATGTCTAGTCCCATCCTTATCCCTGTGCAAGAGGTCTTTGAGTGCAGTTCGATCAACTCGGAAGGAAGAGTTGTGTCCAAAAAAAAATATAGTCTGAACAGACAAGACGTAATAAAGTATATTACCCAAAAGGTCAGCGGCTTTTCTAATGCAAAAGTGAGCGTAACAGTTAACACAACATGTATGTGAGGTACACATGAATGTTACTAGGTAGGTTTTGTACGTGTGCACATTTTGTACATCATGCACCATGGCACCTAGATTGTGTTGGTGGTGGTTGGAACAGAGAAAGTTCTCCAAAGCTGGGCCAAGCTAACCAGACCACAGCACCCCACACCTACAATACTACACTGCACCTAATATACATGTAACCTTCCCACGTTTTCAACCTTTGTAACAGTTACAACTTGTTCAGTATAAAAATGAAAAGAAATTGATACAAAAAAAGAAATATGTCATGGAAATTCAATGTCTCGCCAGTGCTACAAAAAGGTGAGAAGAATGTTTTATCCTAAAAGAAATAATGAATAATAAAAACCGCAGACATATACAAGCTTGTGTGCCCTCCCTTTCCTAGATGTTATGTGGTGTATGTGCCCTTTGCCTGCCTTCATGTAGAACTTTTGTATTGTTGATGAAAGATTGGGCTCCGTCGCAAAAGCATGGCTTAATGTGATCTTTGCTGCAGTTCATAACAGCATATGTACGTCTCACAGACCTATAATTGTTTATATATACTTGCCAAGACAAATTTTAAAGATGTCACTTTCCTAGTAAGAAAACGTTATGGTCATCTATGCAGCATTCTGGCTTCTATTGTCAACTAATTTTGAAAATTGTCTGTGAATACTTCTAGTGAACACATAGAATTAAGCCTATTTGCTGCGACTTATAGTGTTTTTTGCATTAAAGATCAGACTAAGCCACTTTGAGATTTTGTTTTAGGTACCTATCTGTGGTCATAGAGAACTAATTTGAATTATTTGTGAACAAGAGTGATCCAAGCATTGAATGAATGTTGCAGTGTTCCATTATGTTTGGAACGCCGTCCTTTCTACACAAGCTGAGTTTTCATTCTTGTGAAAACCGTTATTTTCATATGAATTACTTTTGTACAGTACAGGGATACATACTCCTTTAGACTTAAGGCACAACAGTTTACAGTTTTCGAAATCTGTGATTTCAACATTTGCATGCAGTTACACAAGTGCAAGAAGATAAACTAAGATATATATATTTCTGTCTGTTAAACAACACGTGTTAGTAGGTTAGAGGTCATAAAGTATGATTTATTCAGATTATGACAACACGTCGCCGAAGTGTTTTTTTAAACACCACTATTGTTCTGATTCTTGCCAATACAGGCTGTTAGTATATGGAATTGACTTACGTTGTTACAGTGGAGGTGGTGTGTTGTACGTTACTGCAGCATTTAATCTGTATATACGGCTTTGTTGTCACTGAATACACTTCCTTCTCCATTCGAAAGGGCACCTGATACTAGCCAATGGCAGCGCAGTGTTGTGGTGGATGATTCACTATGGATTAAAATCAGATATTACACAATTATGTGTCGAGTTTGGTTTCTTGTTTGTGTGTTAAATAGAATCATCAGAAGACATATGCTAGGGAACGCAACTAGGGTTTTTATTCCACACACACACGCCAATCAGACTGGATGGTTTTTCCGCCGTCCAGACTGGACCATTTTGTCCACCAACCCATATGTTGGATTCTTTAGGTTAGGCCACACCAAGTAAATTTTATGGATGACGTCCGCGCGCGCATTGATTTTGGCCTGTTCCTAGAAAAAAAAAAAGAAATTCTGCTTTCTGTAACTATGATCAAAGAGTCACGACAGTGTCGCAAATTGTCAGATTGACGTGAAACCCGTAACGCGAAAACAGGACAGGACGGCAACTGCTGTTCCACCAGATTTATTGCTGTTTTGATGATGAATAAAAAACTTCTTGCTTGTTACACTGTGCCACCTCATTCAATTTGTGTCCTAACATTTGTCGTCTCTTAGTATATTTCTAATCGAAGCATCTTGTTTTTTAGGGCCCTTCTTGTTTTTTTTTCGCCCTCTCGCATTAGATTTAGGGTCTCCAACGGACGTCATCCATAAAATTTACTTGGTGTGGCTTACCCAAATTAACACTAAACAATTTTTAAAGAGTTAAGAATAACATTAAACAATGAAAATATTTGCATTGAAATTGTATTCATTCCCTTAGTAAAGGTAACAATGAAAAGATCTAGAATTAAAAGTACGTTTTACAAGAAATGACAGCTAATATTCATATAGAAAAGGGAATGCCCAGTGACTTTTGGAGCGTCTTGACAAGACTTCATTGAGTGATGTTCATGTACAACATGTATGATTCTTCACTTTTTTCTCCATTTCAAACATATATATACATATATTTCCTCAGAAATCCGTACATTTTATTGCCGTTAATGAATTACCAATTTATGGAATCGCCTAGCAAATTTGACAGTTTAAGCATGGAGGTGGCACTTGATGTTGAAAATAGGTCAAAATTGCCCTGTATGTAGCGGCCAAAAATTCAGAAACAGCAATTTGAGACACCCGGTGTTGAAATTTCTACCGATCAAAATCGGCCCCAAAAGTCACTCCAGGAATGGGAGCAACTGTCGACATTGTGGTGCAGTCCTTCACTGAACTGCTAGAGGCCGCTTTTGATCGATGCACTCCACCGTCATAACTTATAAAGCCGTAGGAACCCCAGACCACCAAGGCCACCAAGTTTTTGCTGAAGCTATATTGTTTTGTTAACTAATTACCTTTGCCATCTTTTTCATTTGATATCGGGGTTTAGAAAAGATGTAAACACTCATTTACTATTGTCGAAACAAAGTCCAGTGCTGTATTAAATGACAGTAACTATTTTGATTATCGAGGAAAGTGTTCAGCACCAAGGACAGGTTCGCCTAGCTGTGTGTGGAAGGTGTTAATTCTACCACAAAAAGAAGTCCTCGCGAAAATAAATGAATTTACAGTAATATAAAATTGGATAAGAGTGTTATCATCCATTTTTTGACCCTGAGATTGAAATAAGTAGTCTTCGTAATTAGATGATCTAATTAATCCTCCCTCTTCGCCACATATAAGTGCCTAGCATCGAGACGGGCCGTCATTGGTCGCCATAATTAGATTACCAGCTTCACATCAATTTGACAGCCGTTTTGCACACCTGTGTAAAAACAAGCACATGGTCCATTCAAAATGGCGCTTTCGTACGACGGGAATATTCTGGGCTGATTTTTTTTTACAACTTTCTGGGTACTTTATAGAGTTTTGGTCGGTAGAATGTTTTCAATAAGTGTGCAGCAGAATGTTAGGGAGATTTGGCTGTGGATTTGTGCCGTTCTGGTGATGTTTTGAGGAGAAAATGCGGATTTCCTGACCTGGTGAATTGTACATGTGGAGAAGACAAAATGGCGAGACAGTTGGGAAGAGTAGCGTGGCATGGAGACGACTTCGCTTGTTGTTGCAGGTAAAGCTGAAAATTGTTTGGCTGACATTATTCCTTGGAAAATATAGTTTAAATATGCTAAGTTAGCTGGTGTGCTATATACATGTACAAATATTCCGTAAGATATGACCTATTTCTGTATTAGAGAGCGACCGTTCCAAATTTCAGACAGGCTTTGAAAAAGTTGCCGCGTTTTCAACAACATTTTTAATGTGCGGTGAGCTTATAATGTACGTGCATGTCTTTTTAGTCAATTGTTCAGCGTTGTGGGGTTATATTTTTTAAAAGAAATTATACATTGTCAAAACGTGTCTTTTCTTTATCTCCACGTGGTTCAAAACACCTGTTGGAATGTGCCCGTGTACATAATTAAATATTTTGATGATCCCGCCAAAATTCGCGTAAACACAAACTCATAACTTCAAGGGGCTGAAAGGAATACGATACAAAATGTTTGGAAACTTAAGTCGAATTGACCAGGCATACTTTCGTTCTTCATTACCTTCGCCAAGAAGGTTATGTTTTCAGTAGCGTTTGTCTGTTGTGGTTTAGCAAGATAACTCGAGAAGCAGTGGATGGATTGGAATGAAACTTGGTAGGTGGGTAGGTCTTCATGAGACCTAGAAACGATTAGCTTTTGGGCCCCCTGGTGGCTTTCCTAGGTACTGCAGCAGAACTTCCGGTTTTGATATCTCGTGATCTGGACATGCAAGGGTCACGAATTTTGGATGGCAGATAGCTCTTGGAATAGGAAAGAAGTGACAAGAATTTGGGCCCCCTAGTGGCTTGTTCTGGAACTGCAGGAACATTTGTTGAAAAATTTTTGAAGGAGGATACCTCAAGAACCGGTTGACGGATTGTCATGATTTTTGGTATGTAGGTAGTTGAAGTGATGCTTGACATGATCAGATGACAATTATGCAAATCAGGACCTAATTTGCATAATTAATGAGGAAAATCTATAAATCTGCTTTGTTCGATGATAGAACTATGAAACACTTGTGACATCTACTTTAGAACGAGAAAAAACATATGAGGATATAGATTATGTAAATGAGGACCTAACTTGCATAATTAATGGAAAATATTTATAATTTCATAGTTGTAATGGCTGGGAATTTCATACATTTGGAAGTTAAGTGAAGGCGAACATCAACAAACATAATTTATTCAAATCAGGACCTCATTTGCATAATTTATAAGGAAGAGCTATAATAGCCTTTTTGTTAAGATAAGGCTGTCATTGGGTGGAGAATATAATCAACTGATGTAATCCATGCAAATGAGGCGCTTATTTACAAAATCAATGATTAAAATTGTATAATTCGTCAACCGCAAGGGTTAACATCATTTGGCGAAGGTATGAGATCGTGGAACTCTTGTTATCATTTTCATTGTATAACAAAAGCTTTTTCTTTTCAATGATAGATTAATTCAGTAATTGTAATGACCAACGCCCAAGTATTTGTTGTGCAAATACTACAGTTGACTATGCAGGAAGGTCACAATTTCTGTTTTCAAAACATTTTGCACCTTGTTTATATATATTCCACATGGAGTTTCAGCTGAATGGGTTTGATTTATTTTATTGTTGTTAATATCCCAATTTTTATGGTCACTCGGTACAGTTTTTGTCAAGGTAGTCAATTCCGTGTCACCATGTGGGTTATCATTGTCATTATCTAGAAATGTTTTGAATTTTTTGTAATTGTCTAAGAAATTTCATTGTTTGGAAACATTTTGAATATATTCAACATTCTTAATAATTTCCTAGTTTTGTGAAACGTTTGAAATATTCCTGATGTGGATGTCTAAATATTTGGAAAAGTGAAAGACACATTAGGTACTTCAAATTTATTCTAAATAAAGAGATCTTTGTACAGCCACTTTCAAAATGTTTCAGAAATATCTAAATAAATTCAAATATATTCAGATTTTCATTTTCAAATTTATGAAAAATTTTGAACTTTTGTTACTGAGGTATTCTTTTCTTCTAAATAATTCAAAAGTATTACAAACAAGGAGAAAAAACCCAACGTGGTGACACAGAATTGACTCTACTAGGAGTATTTGTTTTAAAGTGAAGAAATTGAAAGTGAGTGCATTGCTAGCATTGAGAGCATTGGTGAAGATACATAAAATGTAGTAGTAGAAGAAGAAAACTAGTAGATGCGGTATATCATCTGTCAAATGCATGCTTGTAAGTTTGTTCTGGTTTTTGTTTCCTTGCTGAATGAATGAATGAATGGTTTATTTACAAATTACATGTCCTACAAAACATACAGTAGCAGCCATTATCGGCTTAAATGATGTATGATTTACATCACATTGTTAAAAAGCTCCACTCAGTGATACTTAATAAATAGGTAACGTAGCATTAGGCAAACAATCACAAGGGACAACTGTTAAAATCAGCGCAAGATAACAACATTAATTCTAACTCAACGCTATATATACATATATATACATATATATATTGCTGTGTCCAAATCTATAGTTGGTAAGATTTTGTCAGTGTTATTATGGATGTTTCTACAATATATAACAAGCTGATAACATATCAAGTATTTCTTCTTTTCATATAGAAGTCAGCTGTGCTCTCTGAGGGTCAGCAAGCTGTGCAGATGTTCAGTACTGATGCAAGGAGACTTGTGATGACAGAGGCACCAGGTGAGAAAAATATGAATTCTTCATTTTACCTACAGCTAGTTGGTGTTATTTGAGACAAGTGTGTAACATCTATTAATGTCTGTATAGTTAGGTGTCTGCTGACTGATGCAGTAGTGATGACTCCTGTCTGAACCTGACAAGACTGATTGGACCAGACCAGATGATTTGAAGACCCAAGAGGAATATCAGGTGAGAAAAATCTGAATGCTGCATTTTACCTACAGCTATTTGGTGTTATTTGTGACAAGTGTGTAACTTTTCATGTCTGTATAGTTTAAGGTGGCTGCTGACTGATGCAGTAGTGAAGACTCCTGTCTGATCCTGACAAGACAGATTGGACCAGAACAGATGATTTGAAGACCAAAGAGGAATATCAGGTGAGAAAAATCTGACTTC